TTAATGTTAATTATCCTTGTGACAAGATGTAGTTTATACGTCTGTAATTATCTCACCATAAAAGTCCAACGTACCTTCATGAAACTTTAATCGTGTTTAGTCAGCAAATATTTTTACTCTAATGAAGCTAAATGTAAAGCAGACATGAAACTAATTACTCCAGCTTTTTCTTTTTTTTTCTTTTTTCATCTGTGCACATGGCAGCATCACAACAGCTCAGTGCTTTAAAGACACACACACAAAAAAAACCTTTGGATGGTTATTATGCAATGCTGCAGATACTGATGGGATGACATGAGGGGCACACTCACCATCAATCAAGTGATCTTTATCCATGCAGCAGGATTCAAATTATGCAGCTAATAAAGGTTTTAAATTTAAAAACATTTTTTTTTTTTTTTGGTTTTGTTTTTTTAATACAAGACAACTGTTGCATGTTAACAAATGCTTTTTTATGATTATTATTTTTAATTTATTATAAATTAAATTTAGGACAATTTTATAAAATAGATCCTAAAAATTTTCTTCTTTTTTGGACAATTTAGTTTTTGTTCTGATCCCAAAGTCATTTAATTCAATCAGACTCTTCAAGTTGATTAGCCTGGTTAACATTTGCTCCTGTGCGGGTCCTGAAGGGTTAATCAGGCCGGGAACCCCGAGACCTCCGGGTCAGTGTGTCACTCTCTGCGTGGAGGAGTCAATGAAGGCAGATAACATGAAAGACTACTTTTAGTCCAGATTAGACTTCACACGCCGGATTGACTCCGTTTCTAAGACAATCTTTTTCCTTCATGTGAAATATTTCAGAGGCGTTTAAAACTCATATTTCCAGGCGAGGAATTTACTGATGGTTTTGTAGTTTTAATCTAAAATTGTTGAATTTATTCCGTTTTTATCTGCGTGCGTTTTTTGCATATAAGACGAATTTAAAAAATCGCAATGCACGTGCCAGTTGAACCTGACAAATGTGTGAAAGCTTTTTCTTTGCACTGCTCCCCTTAATCTCAACTATTATCTCCACACTATCGATTAATTTAACTGCACTCATCCCAATCAGCACATCTGCACTCGTGTGTTCCAGCGCGGCTGCTTTGTTTTACTAACAATAATAAAGTGATTTAGTCCTCTCTCCCAGCCGGAGCATGGGAAATCGTTAAGGATCCAGCTATTTGTGTGTGATCAGTAAATATTTAGTGCAGGCGACATCCTCTGTCTCGTCTTAATCGATACTGGTCCCGTTGGGCAGCGCTATTGTTGTGTGCATGCAGGCATATAGAGCTTTTCTCCTCTGCCTGGAGGGAGAAGAAGTAAAGGAGGAAACTTTTCAACCCGGAAAATAAAAAGTGCAGCACAAGACTTTAGTGGGCTTTTTTACAGCAGATCAATCGTCTTGGTGTGGAAATGTGTATGCGTAAAAAAAAAAAAAGATGGGCCAATTTGCCACCAGTCGAGGTAAATTGAGGCTATTGTAATTTTATGTGTAATCTTGTGTGTAGTTCTGAGAGGGTGGTAGAAAAAAAGAAAAAATATTTGCTCATTTATATTTTTATTCTGAATATTAGATATGCAAAATGTGTATTTTATTCTAATTTTAAATATAATAATAATAATAATAATAATAATAATAATAATAATAATAATAATAATAATAATAATAATATGTTTGCATAACTTAATGTTTTATTTATCATTGGAATTAAATTCTTAATTAAATCTCAAATCCCAGGTCGTATTGCGCAGTGCTCGTGCAGTGTGCATATAATTTCTAATAAGCAGAGTGTAATAAAGGCTGCTCGGCACCCTTACAGACAGGTGTCTGTGTGGCTGCACCCCTCCCTCTCTCCTCTGTAGCCCACACAAAGCAGCAGCGGCGTACGAGCGAGCGCGTTTTCAGCACATTACTGTAGGAGAGAAAAGGCGCACAGGATCTCTCTCTGCGCGCTCCGAGAGAGAGCCTACTTATCATTTCCACAGCCAGTCTTAATGTGATCCTGCTCGGACGGCACGTCAACTTATATTTCCAATTCCTCGCCTCAACAACACATAACGTGAAGCAGTTGCTGCACGGCTCCGGTTCTCCAAAGTTTTTGCATGATCAGACATTTGCAGTTTTCCAATAAACAGCGTGCTTTTTTTGTGTTTGATCCCGTCTGTTGGAGAGAGGACGCTTTGCCAGGTTCAGTCTGAGCACTGTGTCGAAAAACAGAAGACTAAATATATTCTGAATAAGAGAGAGAGGGAGAGAGAAGATGCATCCCGCTACGGACGAATCAGCAACATATGCATTTGGTAGGTTTATAAGAAGCCTCCTGCCTCTTGTCACTGTCAGATCACTTTATGAATGACTATTTGCAAACTAGCTGGGCTTATTGTGGTCATGATATCTGGAAATAAGGGTGGACAGAATCGCGTATTCGATGCGCACTGTAGAAATCTCGTACATGTATGTTTCTATATGCTCTGTCTGCAGCAGACTGTCTATTATTAGGCTACTCCTGACAAACCTGAGCGCTTCATTTTATTTCCACGGTGCCGATTTCTCATGATAAAGTGTGAAAAATGTACTTACCGTCTGAAGCCAAACTGCACCCTCGGTACGTTGCGCAGTATTTTTATTTACAGACTCTCCGCGACTTCACGCGATCTGTAAATAAAACCGAGAAAATAGTCATGCAGACAAAATATAATTGGCTCATTTGTTTGAGAATAAAGACATAATTGCTCTAAATACCACCGCTGGGATCTGTCTGAAGTGGTGAAAAAGTAAATCCAACTTTGGCAACTGTCAAAGCGTCGCCGTCCAAGTCATGTACAGCGGAATTTAAACAAACACTCATCAGTTTAAAATGGTGCTCGTTAGTTTGCTCCATGCAAGGAGACGAGACTGAAGCAGTTTCCGTGTCGGATGGCTCCTCTAAATTGAATCTTACTGGGAGCAGAGAAACTTCATACGCTAGGGGGCACCCATATACTGTCATACACCCTGGGACAATGCATGCTGCTGCTGCTGCTGCTGTTACTGCTGCTGCTCTGTGTGGACTCTTGTATACAGACACCCAGCTCAGAGTTGAGGTTCATGTGTGTGAAGCTGAAGTTTTTTACCTGAAGTTCAACTTTGATAGCCTCGGGGATGTGGAGTTGAAGCTTCTGGAACATTGATTACCCATGCAGGCTGACCCCGTTTTAAATCCCCGGCATCCTTTTTTATTGTGTTTATCATCACGTGGGCCAACATTATCTTTATTATAGGGGCGTTATAAAGCAAATGACCACAAACTGTTGTTTATGAGCGAGTGTCTCCTCTTTCATCCTATAACCTTTATGTGAAGGGCATGCCATCTTGACCTGGTGTGACATTTTTAAATGTGTTCCCTCTATTTAAAGCTGTACACTCATTTCACGTGCTGACCACACGATGACACAGCTCTGACTTGTGGGGACCCACGTTTGGCCTTTGTGACCTGTGGCGCTGCTGGCGGGGGTCTCTCTGTGGCCGTGCAGGGGGATTAACCCGTGGTGTCAGGAGTCTATCATAACATTTTTATAGGAGGTGTGGATGCTGATTATGCTACCTGGTGTTATTAGAGTGCTAATAGATGTATAAGCCTGTGCAAATATACAGGAGGGATCATGTGGAGATGCGTGTTTTATTGTCACGGATGCATGGATCTTGTATGTCTTCATATGCTGTTAATGCACATATTTTCTGTTCTTGTGTGTGGTGACATTTTATCTTATTCACGTTATGTTTATAGCTTCAAAGATTACGATTAGGGCACAATAGATGGACAGTTTTATTATAATGAGGACAGATCAGGTCAAGAAGGTGTACCTGTGTCTTTTTTTTCTTCAAGAATACTCTCCGGAAAACAACAAAAATAAAACCACCATATAGTTTTTATTCCTTTTTTTCCCAACATAATATTACTAGTTGGTTATTCCGCGCGTGCATGTGATTAAAAGTCTATATTCTGTGTGCATAAAGCGACTAGAATTGATTCCTTTTTTTTTTCCGGGAAAACTCGTCTCCTTTTAGGACCAAGCGGCCCTCTCGACCTCCATGCTGGCTCTGGCAAGGCACCAAGTAGCACAAGTGCCGACTAGCCAATGGGGTTGAGGGGGAGGTCCCTGAGCTCTGACCAGTCAAACACACTCTCCTTCCTTATATGGCAGCAGATCTCCATGGTAACGTGTGCTAAGTTGCAGCAGTCGTGTCAAAGTTCACTATATAGAGAGCTCAGTGAGCTGATCAGAGAGAAAGCATTCTGCCAGCCCGGCTCCTACCAATCGCAAATCACTTCCTAACCTCCGCCTTTTTAACATATTTGATCACTTTGATTCCGCACTCCTTTTTCCGATTATTTTCCAGTCCACGGAGGAGGTTTTGTAGGTTGTGATCTCTTGTTTTTTTGTTTTTTTGTTTTAGTGCTTTTGCTTTTTTGCTGGGGGAGAGTTTGTCTTCATATTCCAGCCTCTCAAAACATTGGCTCCAGCCGCGCGCTTGCTGGCGCTGTATACCTCAGAGGAAGAAAAGGAAGAAGACGCGATTTTTTTTACCCAGTTGGTGATTTTCTTCAAGACTTGAGCTGGAACTTGATAGTAGCTGCTACAGTGTGCTCACCAATTGTTTCATGCTGCTGCAGGCGTGCTCTCTCCAACCTGCTCCATCCTCCTCTGAGTAGTCCATGCTACCTCGGCTGGGTATTTGAATATTGAGCCTGTCTTTTCCCATTGATGGCTGTGCTGGATGGCTGACTGTAAGCGCCCCTGGACTTGGCCTTTAAGCGCAAGGCAGCGACTCAGCTCGCCATCGCATCAGTTTTGAAAACGTGCTTCGCAGCGTCTCCAACAGCAATAAATCGACAGTTTATCTGGAGTGGATTCAACGTAGGCTAGAATTGACATTTTTGAGTCACAGTTTGCCGCGTTTCCCAGAGAGACATTCTCCACCGCGACAGCAAAACGGCAGACAAAAAGTTTCTTTACGTTGACTGATAGATATGGCAATGGTAGTGTGGAGAGGCTCCCAGGACGATGTGGCTGACACCCAAGGCACCCTTTCCTCGCAGACCCAAGGAGGACTATCTCTTCCCACCCCTCAACCAGGCCAGTTGGGTCTGACAGCCTCTCAGGTCGCCCCTCCGACCCCACAGACGCCGGTCCAAGGACCCCCGAACAACACACAGTCCACGCCGACGAACCAGACGTCGCAGCAGTCGGAGAAGCAGCCGCAGCACATTGAGTGTGTGGTGTGTGGTGATAAATCCAGTGGCAAACACTATGGCCAGTTTACTTGCGAGGGGTGCAAAAGCTTCTTCAAACGGAGCGTACGACGGAACCTCACTTACACATGCCGTGCCAACAGGAATTGTCCAATCGACCAACACCACCGCAATCAGTGTCAGTACTGCCGCCTCAAAAAATGCCTTAAAGTCGGCATGAGACGGGAAGGTATTGGGACTTTTTGTTTTCTTAATCTTCTGTGTGTTTGTGCGTTTTATCCTCCCAGACATGAATCCATGATATGTCGCCCCTCATGCTGTTTCTCTCCCCCCTCGACTGTTCCCTGCTCGGCTGTGCGGCTGCAGAGCGCCATGGAGCGGCTCTCTGCTGTGCAGGAGACGGGGCTCGCCGGAGCTTCCTTTATATTTTAGCGCTGCTGCGTTTTTGTAAACAGCCTCGGCGCCTTATTCCATCTCTCGAATAGCGTCAAACCCACGTTAAGGCTACGGCTATCGAAATTGTTTTTTAGCTTGTGATACATCTGTGATACCACACAGCAGCCTCTTCTTGCGCTATTATGGCGAGTATCGAATTAAGAGATAGCGTGTTCGGGCTACATCTCCACATCCTGCCCGCATGTCTTGTTCAGCGCCTCTAAACCTGGACTTGAGGCTGAATAATGCATTCAGAGACTCCGTGTAACCTGGAGATTTTCTCTAAATATCAGTGCAGAACGGGCCCTCATGTAGGGTAAAAGGAGATGAATTGCTAAGTAGGTTAAGGGTTAAACATGCAAGGTCTCCCTTGCCCTCTTTGTGTTCCTTCACAGCCAGCTCATGTTGCTGTTGCCGAATAACATCATTTTAAAGCTCGACATATACACATGGCGAGTGTTCAACGCCTCTCTGCTGTTTCAGGCGTTATTATTCTCACCAGTCTCATAAGCAGCGATGTAATTGTATTTTTAAACTGCAATAACATAATGTGTTTGTGTGTGTGTATATGTGTGTGTTTGTGTATGTGTGTGTGTGTGTGTTGATGCTGTGTGTCTTTGATTGATGGCTCAGAATATTCTGTAATATTTTCCAGCATGCTCTTTGTAACTGTGTGATGGTTTTTGTAGAATTCAGGCTTCAATATCTGTAGTTTCTCTTTTTACTGCAGCCGTGCAAAGGGGACGGGTGCCACCCACACAGCCACACCACGGTCAGTTCGCCTTGACAAATGGAGACCCACTGCACTGCCATTCCTACTTATCCGGATATATCTCTCTTCTGCTGAGAGCGGAGCCCTACCCGACGTCCCGGTATGGCAGCCAATGCATGCAGCCCAACAACATCATGGGCATCGAGAACATTTGTGAACTAGCAGCCAGGATGCTGTTCAGCGCCGTGGAGTGGGCCAGGAATATTCCCTTCTTTCCAGACCTGCAGATCACAGACCAGGTGGCTCTGCTGAGGTTGACGTGGAGTGAGTTATTTGTGCTGAACGCGGCGCAGTGCTCCATGCCCCTGCATGTGGCTCCTCTCCTGGCGGCGGCTGGCCTGCACGCCTCCCCCATGTCCGCGGACAGAGTGGTGGCCTTTATGGACCACATTAGGATCTTCCAGGAACAAGTGGAGAAGCTCAAAGCTTTGCACGTTGACTCTGCTGAATATAGCTGCTTAAAAGCAATTGTGCTCTTCACCACAGGTAAGACAAAAAGACGAGCACACTCAAAGTTCAGTGAACGCACCCTCACACATGCACACTGACATCAGCCAAATCAACCCTGACCTAAATATTTATCTGCTCTGGCTGGAGGTTGTTGCTTATGTTAGAGGGAAAACACCCTGCTCAAAATGCTGCCTTCACGGTCCCGGGCTATTGGCAAATAATTAAAAAATCACTTGACTAACCAACTGATTTATCTGACACATTTACAGGAACACAATGGGCTATCCTACCATGACCGTGCCTTATATTTCCTCAAATAAATACACAGACAAGTCCAGCAACATAAAAACACTCTCAGGGCGTAAAATAATTCAGATAATTTCACAGAAAGTGCCTGAAGGAGCTGTTCACACACTCTTTAAAGAATCTAATAGCTTACATAAGATTAGCTACACTTTGATTATTTTTCCCGTCATTTATCAATGTATGTGAAGCCCACGTCTTGTTTGTAGGGATGACAGATATAAATGATGTCAGGCTCCGAGGGGGAGGGGAAAAAGAAAAAGGAGAGAGACAAGCCTAATGTGCCATTTGCACACAGTCAAAGCTAAAGCGCAGGTTTCCAACGCTCCTCTTGTCCATTTTTTTGGGGGGGACACACACATGTCTTAGAAATAGCAACCGAGACACCCCATGTAACAGCGAGGCCTATATGTCATAAAAAACAACAATATGTCAGAGATGAACCCTTTGAGGAGTGACAGGAGGGGCGGCTTTCAATTTCATTTGCAGAAATATTCCCTGCGTCCAAAGTGGAATCCAAGGCGTCTGCCAAAACCAGGTCGTGACCCAAACTTCGCTGCTATTTAGTTACATTAGCTGCTGCATTGTGGGTAAAATAAAAAAAATAGTGTCGAAGAGGTTTACAAGGTTTCACTATGAAGTGAATGTCTTCAATATGACACCACACCTGCGAGCCAGCAGCCTCTGGATCTCCTTCAGAACACTATTGTTATGGTTGGGCTACTTCTCCAAATAAATCACATTACCTGTGATTGAGTTTGATTCTAAAAGTCCACCGTGTCTCTCCCGTTTGTCCTCCTCGTACCTGGGGTCCCGGAGGCTTGAACTTGAGCTGTGTGTGTGTTGGAGCTTGAATGACACACCTCCTGCTACTTTGGTGGTTTTTGGTTGTTGTTGTGCATAAACTTTACAAACTTAACCAACGCGCGTACAAGCGTTGTTTTGGCACATAATCAGCAGCCGCCCACACGCAGCAGCACAGATAGTGATTATGCGTCTCTGGTGGTGTAGTATGACGGCAACTCCGTAGGCTATGGGCCCTTTTTTCCAAGCTAAATCTCTGCTCACTAAAGGTCAGTAGGTCTCCCCGTCTTTCCCTCTCTCTCTCTCTCTCTCTCTTTCTCCCTCTCTCTCTCCCTCCCCCTCCTCTCCTCCTCGCTCTTGCCTGTGACTGTGAAAGACAGGCCCCGGTTTAAAACACAGGCTTTGGCTATGAATATGCTTAATTATTTAGCTCGATTTTAAGTGGTTTTATCGAGGGAAATAATCGGGAAGACTTGGCGATAAAATGAGGAAGATGATGGGAAAGCACCGCTCACGTTTCCATCCGCTTGTTGGTTGTAGCGAGCAGAAGAGTTGGCGTTTTTGTTTTTACTGTTTATATTTCTCTTTAATTTTAATTCAAGTTTAGTTTTTTTAAATTTGCTTATAATTGTTATTTTTATTTGAAGGTGAAATAAGAAGCAACAGAGCGCAGAGCTGCCTTCTTATAACCGCGTTGAGTTCATTTTTTACTCTTGAAATTATTACAAGTTATTCCTCAACAACTGTGAATTTTTCACGTAAATAACCACGACACCAACAACCTCAAATTTTCAAATTTGTCGTGAATAAATTCCCCTAGAATAAACCCTCTTGTGAAAAATCTCTGACAGGTTGTGAGTTGTCGCCAGTAAATCAGCCCAGACTAGGAACAGCCTCCTCGTGAGAGAAACACTTTATTAATGTTTATTTGCTTTCCCCCCCTCCCAGATGCTTGCGGCCTCTCAGATGTGGCCCATGTGGAAAGTTTGCAGGAGAAGTCCCAGTGTGCCCTGGAGGAATATGTCCGGAGCCAGTACCCCAACCAGCCCACACGCTTTGGGAAGTTGTTACTCCGCTTGCCTTCCCTCCGCACAGTCTCTTCCTCGGTCATAGAACAGTTATTTTTCGTCCGATTGGTAGGTAAAACCCCCATTGAAACTCTCATCAGGGATATGTTGCTGTCGGGGAGCAGTTTTAACTGGCCTTACATGTCAATTCAGTAAACCAAGAAGGAGACGAACAAACAAAAGGTGGGGCTGGGGAGGGGAAGAGGAGGAGGAGGAAGAGGAGGAGGAGGAGGAGGAGGAGGAGGGGGGACTGCGAGACTACAATGATTATAGCTGCTTTTGTGGAAGGAATAAAAAAAGCAACCGTCTGTTACACGGGGCTGGCTTTCATGAAGAAAGACATTGACGTAAATGACTGTGAATTCCCCTCAATACTCCCCAAAAAATTGAGACATGCACTGAACTTTCAAAATGGCAGAAACAAGCTCCCAGAACAACAACAACAACCTGCTTCGATTCATTTTTTTAATGAAAGAAGAAAAATGAGGGGGGGGGATTTTTGTTGATTCTTGTAAGGAAAATTTAAGTATTAAGTGCATTTAAAAATGATAATTTGGGTTGAAAAAGAAAAAAAAAACTGGAGAAAAGAAAATACTGAACGTGAATTTTTTCTCTTCTCCAAACTGACTTGTCCTGTGTCCATGTATAGCTGTGTTTTGTACTTTCTTTGTTCCTCCTTTCTGGTTCCAAACCGGCATATGTGATTTCTGTAGTACAGGTGGTGTTATTTTCTAAGACAATGATTTTATTTTGAAAAAGGTGAAATATAATGTTTCAAAAAACGATTCTAAAAAGAATTAAAACCACAGCAATAGGAGTATAAGGCTTATAAACTAAGGCTTAATGCTGCAAGCGCACTTATAATGTTAGGACGACCAACACCATGAGGGGAGCTTTGTAGAGTTCATGTTCAACTTTTTTGACCCAGCCAGGACATTTCACAATTTCTTTACAAATTAATTGATGGACAGTCTTCCCCCCATTCAATTTAGTTTGAATGTTTAAAAAGAAGCAGTTTCCCCCTTAAAAAAATACAAATCAAATCCAACAAGTTGTCTGCTGTTGCTCCTCTTGTGCGTCAAATGCGCATGAGACGATGAAACCACACCTGACTTCTTCAACGTAAAATCAGCTGAGGTCAAGGGGTCATAAAAGTTTGAAGCCTAGCCGGAGTAGTGTTTAATAGCAGTATTATTAAAGCGTCCCTGACATGTCACCTTTTATTCACTTCAAGCATTAAGTGCCTGACAAGCATGATGTGATTTCTTCTCCAAACGTTATTAAAGTGGGCCTGGACGACTCTTTTTTTTTTGGGGTGGTGGGGTGGTGGAAGGGGGGATCCTACACAATTAGAAAGGAAACTACAGTCGTGTTATTTCACGTGACAGACGCTGATCAGAGGCAGTATTCTTGTAAATATAGGTCAATTCATTTTCAACGAGTTTTTTCCTTTATACAAAGTATATGTGATTAAGAAAAATCTGTGGTTGCCATTTTTTTTTCTCTCTCTCTCGGTAATACAACGTCTTCAAAATTGAGTGGCAGACTTAGCTAGTAGCACTGAAGGTTCTGTTTTTAATGTATATACATATTACTACAAATGTTTTCTTTTTCATGTATATTTAGACTGTGAATGCATGGCCACAGGTCGCTAACCTATTTTACCTTTGATATATAAATGTAAATGTTTTCTCTCTCTCTCTCTCTCTCTCTTTTTTGACTGTATAGATATAATCTGTGCATTCAGTACACTAGCCCTTGTATTTAAAGAAACAAAAAAGAAAAAAGAAAAGAAGCGAGCGTTCATTATTAGGCTACAGACTTAAACAGGGTGAGCAGGTTTGGAAGGGAAAAAAAAAGGAGTGGATATTTTAACTTTAGTGTTATTGCTCCTTTTTTTTTTTTTGCTCTTTGACAGGTGCCGTTTTGGTGTGCGCGTGCGTGCGTGTGCGAGAGCGAGTGTGTGCGTGCGTGTATTTGGAAGCTAGCAATTTTGTCCTTGTTTTTTTTTTTTTTTTTTTTTTTTTTTTTGAGGCTTTTCTTCGCCACACAGAGAAACAGCAGGCTGTGGTTGAATTAAAGGGATCACTGATTGAACACTGATCTTTGGCTGTGCGGAGCCACATATGGACCAGAGAATGATACATGATTGTAATTATGAACAGTTTAAACTGACCCACGTTTTTATATAAATATATAAAAATATATGACTGCAGGGTATTGATAACGTATAGATACTTTTTTTATGATTATTATTATTATTAATTGCAAGTGATATATGTGAGTGTGTGTGAAAGTTTATAGTTGAACACAATTCTTGTTTGTTTGTGTTAGCTTATTGTAAACAAGCATTCTGCTGTAAATTTGTTCTTGGTATTAAATTATAATTTATGAATTTGAAAACAAAAGTTTTTCCATGTTTTTATTTTCCACTCCGCCAGCGTGCGTGTGGACTTGTCCCTGCGTGTATGTGGTGTGTGTGTGTGTGTGTGTATGTGTGTGTGGAAGGGAGGGATGGAGTCAATTTGCTGTGGCAGGATGTTGCCCTTTTGCCCCATGAAAGTGATTAATGAAATACACAATAATTAATCAATCAGCCAACAGGCTCGCTTCACTTTCAGCCAAAAGGTTTTGGATGATTTTCTCTGAATTTACCAGAGAAAACGAGCAGAGTGCGAAACTTTCAAAACAGATAAAACGACAGCAATAAGGCGTCCCGTCTCACCAGATATAACAATTCACATCAGCAGACCCTCCTATTCAAATATGGACCTTTGGGTGCAGAAAAACCCAGATCTGCTCCCCCGCCGCTTTACGCGCAATGAACCTCACCTTTACGCACCACCTTTACGCTCACATAAATATTACCAGTCTAATTATTTACATCCAAATAATCTAAATATTTACCACAAGAGAAACAGTGAAATTATTTTTACAACATTTGCTTTTGCTGATGTTACTTCTTCCACTTTTGCATCTGAATTCAACCCTTGAACAATATTCTGACCTTTTACCTCCTACTTTGAAATGTTTGAAGCACCAAGAAGTCAGTGTTGTGGGTTTGGGTGCCATTTTTTTCCCCGCGCGTGCCATGGCACAGCTTTAAACCTTTGACCCATCAGTAATTATTAGTAGCATTGGCTTAGTTGAGGGTTAGGCCTGAAATAGAATTAGTCTTGTTGTATAGAGGCTTAATCAGGATGTAAGGAAGTCAACCTCAACTCGTCTTTCTGCTTTTGCTGCTGCTGCTGCTGCTGCTGCTGCTGCTGCTGTGTTTCTCAGCGTGTGTGTGTGTGGTTTTGTTTCTATTGGTGATGATGATGATGAAAATGATGATCATGATGGGATGCTGATGGTCTTTTTATCTTGCTGAAAGCGCTGTTTAGATTCACACTGATGCCTTCAATGGCTGTCCGACCCAACTGTCTTAAAGAGTTTGTCTGTCAATAATAATCTCATAATTAAATGCGGATTTTACGCTGTAGAGACTATTATGAAACCATTATGAGTCAAAGAATTTACAGTAAGTTACTGTAAATTCAGAAAAACTTGCACACGAGGGGTTGAAAAGTTACTCTTAAAACTACCATGAAATCGTGACTTGAGTGATCCAGAGTGGGTTCGTGGGGCTTAAGACGGACAGATTTTACTCGACAGGGCGTGATGAAAAAACTCAGCTCTAATAATTTGTACTTCTGCTCGTTTATGAAGGTTGTACAACAGAGAAACTAATGAGGTGTAACTCGCCGCGACGTCGCTTTTATTTACGTTTGTTTGACGTGAGAACTTTTTGACACACGAGCTGGTGGCCTAACAACCCCCTTAAAAACCAAGTGTGTGTGTGAGTGTACAGTAGAGTCAGTGCTGCTGGTTGACGTTTGTTTGGGTTTACACGCTGAAGCTGGGAACTGAGTCAGGGCTCTCGGGCTATTAGTGAGGCTATTTGTTTAATAAGATAAGAATATGGTTTGCCTCCTCTCTCTCTGTCTTTCACACACATTTAAGCGACAAATATGCACATTATTTGCACCTTGGCAGTATCACTTTGACAAATTAGCCCATTCAGCGTGCGCGTTATTGCATCCAGAGGCTGGAGGCACAGCAGCAGCTCATTTACAATGGATCATACGCGTAACGCAAAGCAAGATGGGGGCACCTGTTCCTTCTGTTAGGTCTCTGCCTTTAAAGAGGACAAGAATAATAGACCATGAGCGTCACTTTGAGGCCTCTTCTTATTACTTTGTCTCTACAAAACTGCGATCATTCCTCCTCTGAGAAGTTTTCTGTGTGTTTTTATCAAAATTTACCCATTTCTTTCACACTTTTTTAATATTTCTTCTCGACATTATCCCACTTTATCTCTCATCGCTCTAACACACTGCCTCTAACGCCTACTTAGAGCACCAGGCTTCCTGCATTCTGGCCCAGAAATGTAAGAAAATTGTGCCATCTACCCGCTATCCGTGGAACTGTAGCTTTCAGACCTCGGAGACCTCAGCTCACTTTAACACAAAGAAGGGAGAAAAAGGGGGAACAGCGCTGCACACGCAGGCGCCTCCTCAAACAACCAAGACAGCTGCTGCCGACTGCTATTAGGCTGTAACTTTACAAGTAATGTGTGTTTTAAGCACCTGTCATCCACCCTGCATCCCACTGCGTCTGTCTCTGTGTGTGTGTGTCTCTGTGTGTGTCTGTGTGTGTGTAGAGTGCGGCCACTGGCCACCTCTGCCTGGAGGAGAAATGTGATGTTGTAGCTTCAGACATGATCAGAGGGAGAACATAAAGTCTGGATTTTATTTGGAGGCTTTTTATTAAAAATACTTCCAGGTTTTATGACTTCACTGTTGCGCACGATTATAATTTACAAGGCGAAGTAAAATCAATGTGACAAATCAGCTCTCTTAATATTGGCTTTAAGCGGGTTTGGGATTAGAAGAAATACATGAAACCACAGCTTTGGACCCCCACGGTGTCCACACACAAGTGTATGAAAACAAGTGGGATAAGCGGTAAAGATACAGGCTAATAGAGGCGTGGATGATCAGTGCAGCCCCGTTTAACAAGAAGTTTGCATCAGAACAAATCTTACAAATTCTTCATCTTCATTGATTGGAAATCTGAAAAGAGAGTGAGGAGAAGGCAGGAAGGACAGCCAATCAACACCAAGGTGGCAGAGTTCATCAGAAAAAAAAAGAAAAGAGAGAAAGAAAAGGAGAAAATCAGTGCCAGACTTTGCAAAAGGCTGCAGCCCATTGTGGTGATATAAATAGAAGAGAGATAAAGAAAGTGCAGCGTTGTAGAGCAGGAGTGTGAATACACCCATATTTAATTTTTCCCCACTTTTGGGGAGGCCAGTCCAGTTTTCTTTAAGCCCAAAGCGCGCGCACAGGGAGTCTATTTTAATGCCAGTGGAGCAGCTCATAATTCTAATGATAGCCTGAGTATGAATGCCAAATAAATCCAATCACAAGCTACTGTTTGGACACAGAGAAAGCATGACTGGCGCTCAGAGTCTGACATATTTTTAAAAAAAGTATTTTTAGGCGAAAGAGAGGACCAAACTGTCACGGAGAAGCGGGCAAGTGGGCGGGAATCAAACCCACCCTGTGGTTTGAAGCAGGCCGGCACAGACAGCACCTTTCTAAACCCGCAGTTTGATTTGTCTTAATCTCTCTCTCTCCCTTTCTCTCTCTCACTCACTCACACTTACACACACACGCACACTCAGGGGAGGACGGGCACGAACGCTGAGCCAGAGACCACAAACACTCTCCTGGATATTAGACGGGCCCCCTCAGCCTCCAAAAAACCCTCACGCATTATTTCATCAGGGCTACTTCATAGGTATTGGTCGATACGGGCCTACATCTTGTATCGATTTGTTACTTGGGGTACATAGATACTTTATTAAGATCCCCATTAGGTGCACCGCAGTGATTGTCAGGCTTCCAGGGGTCGCAGTATTAATGTTACAGGCGCGTCACTCCTGAGTCTCTGCATGTCAGCTTTTTACGCAGGCTCGAAGTTAGAGAGCACGTGCGATCTCGAGGCCGTTGCTGTGTGTGTGTGTCTATGTGAGTGTGTGTCTCTCTGGGTGCTCTAACAAGTTAGTTTAACCTGTAATGCCAATTGCGCATGCCCGTTTGCTCTTTTTTTCCCCTCAAGGTGCGCGTAAAAGTTCATACCTGCGAGCGTGCGTAACCAGGACGTGATAATGATGATGATGACGTTTGTATTAAACACTTAAGACACGAGCTCGTGCAGATATAATATGCTGCCTGAATTGTTCAAATAGAAACTAAATGTTGAATCAATTTTGCATCAATTGGGAGTCCAGGCCCGTCATGCTCTGTGCCGCTCGTGATGTATTCTGCATCCTTGTGAATTTCATTTTCGCGCGAGAGTGCGTATCCGTCTGTTCGTGCGTGTAGGTGCGCGCGCGTACCAAAAGTCCAAAAAAAAAAAAAAAAGAAAGAAAGAAAACACGCGCACTTGGCAAAGCTGTGCCAAACTGTGAAATTAATTTGGCGTAATTCTGCTCCACGTTGGTGGTACACTGAAGGTGCTTTAACAAAAAAGAGAAAATCTCACACCCTGAGCGTTATGTCTCCTCCACCCTTCATCACCACCATCACTCCTCCTATCATTTTCACCACCAACACGCGTTCACAAATTCTACAGGTGAAAAAGACAAAAACATAATTCCAACTTTCCACGAAAATAATTTATTAGAAAACTTGTCATGCGCAATTTCATGCTGTTTTTTTTAACTCTCCTCCTGCAGAGCTGTTCCCAAATCCTCGTGGAACAGTCTTGATATCTCCTGCTGCAGGTGTGTCATCATCTCCTCGTGCTTCTTCTTCTTCTTGTTGTTGCAGTCAGCTTGTTGAGAAGCAGCGTTCATGATGGTGAGGCTCTTTCTCAATAACCGGGAGGAGCAGAAACGGCCTGCAGTTAAAAAAACACAATCTAGTTCAGTATCCTCGCTTTGGTTAGCTGCGTTTTACTGTCTGTAAATGTTTTTGCTTTAGATTGCAAATAATTGGCCAATTTATTAAAAAAAATACAGTAATTAAAATATTTAAACTGTAACCAATTTACTTAAAATACAAGAAAAACATGCTTTTTGACCCCACGTGGACCGTCATCCACGTTAGGTGATAGTGGGTCTGAAAATCTCCTGCGTTTGATTTGGATTCACATTTTTACGCGTCCACAAAATTTTATGTTTTATTTTTTACGACCAATGCTCCTGCGCACAAAGATGCATTTTTAAAGACAGTGTAGTGTGTGATCAACTTCTCTCCTGTACCTCTTTGAGTGAGGAAAAGCCCGTACACGCACACACTCAGACGCCTCACAGCCCCTGCTTGATAAGACTTTCTATTTTTTGTCCCGGGGACTCACATCTGACATTTCCTCAGGCTTTCTCCTGCTGCTGCTGCTGCTGCTGGTGGTTGTGGTGGTGGGATTTTACACGTACACACACACACACACACACACACACACACACACACACACACACACACACACACACTAACACTGCTTAAACTTCAGACGGGCAGATAGCGGCAGAGAAAGCAGAGATCCAACACCACCACCAAATTTGAACATCCTGTAAAGGCGCAGCAGCGAACCAGACCCACCAGAGAAATTCAATGACTCCTCTGATTTTTCTGAGGACCCTGTTTAGCTTCCTCCGTGACCCCCCGAGCGTCCCGGGACGGCAGATTGGGAACTAGTGGACATGTTTGACTGTGATTATTTTGTTGCAGTGAAATGACAGTATACTTCTCAAGTTCCTCCCCCCCTCCTCTTCTTTCCTCCTCCTCGCCCGCTGACCCCCGCAGGTCCGGGCCCCGCTCCGGGACCCCCTGCACTAATGAACAGCGATAACACACAGGACTGCTGGCCGCCAAAAGACAGCAGCGTGCAGGCTGTTGTCAGAGCTGGCTATGCACACAGAAACCGGTCAACCTTATGAGAGGACAAATCTTCACGGAGGGTCTCAGCAGCAGGAGGAGGAGGAGGAGGAGAAGAGGGAGAAAAGAGAGAGAGAGAGAGGGAAAAAAAGAGGGAAACTGTGAAGGAGAATCTGTCTGCTGCAGCGAGATGGCGCTGTTCAGTCTGTTTCACCTCAGCCTGCCCCGCTGCTGCTGCTGTCTCTCACTCTCACATGTGATAAATGTTGTAAAATGTTGCTTCAGATTTACTGCTGGATACTTACAAGAGAGTGAAAGTGAGAATATTGAAGATAATAACAGTGCGGGTCTGCAGTGAGACAGTGGGAGCTCAGGATTTTAGCCGGATGTGACATTTACACTTCAGATGTACATTTTCCACGCTCCTTATTCCCACTGTCACATATTTACCCCGCTCTGTTAACAACTAACGTCAAACTTTTGTTTTTTTAAGAAGTGAAAAAATTCTCTACAACCCTCTAAAAAAGTTTAGATGAAGTTTAGTAGTTTTTATTTTCTTTATTTTCCTGAAGCTGAGAGGAGCTCAGAGCTGCTGCCTTCAGGGCCGTCCTCTTTATTAGTCATCATTCGATTTCTGTAAAACAATTCACATTTTCGCTTCCATTTTTAAAACTGTTTTATAAAATTTACACAAGGCGTTTTGCATTTCGTTCTGATTTAAATCCGTGTCTTTAATTGTATTTATCGGACTCTTAATGCCTAACAAAGAATACTAATTCTAAGAAAACTAAAAAAACACCCGAAAATAAGACCTTTTCTCATATCTGTGTTGGTTTATCCAGACATTTGTAAATTAAAAACATTAATAATTTAATTTAATTAGTTTATTTATATTATTTCGTTGATTTTATGATCCTTTACAATGTTCTCCCTGTTTGAGAAAATAGTTTGTAAAGATATTAACTGTTAAAATTATCGGTAAATGTGTTTTTTTTTTCTTTTTTGCCTAAAGTGAAATTTTCGATAATTTTGCTGCATAAATGTAAAACTTCATATCTTCTAATTATCGAGATAGAAATGTAGGTTAACACCATTCTGATATATTAACGACACTTAATATTATACTGCTGACCTTAACAGGTGAAATGTTATTCATACAAGCTGATCAAATCGTCTTTTTAATCAATTATTTGTCATTTTATTTACGGGAAAATATATCGATATTAAGGAGGTGGTTAAACTCTCTAACTGGTTCGATAAACATTGGTACACGACATCGTTTTAATTAGTGAAAAATCGGAATGAAAGAATGTTGAAATTGATCTTTTTAACTGCAGCACATCTCTGATGAAACACGTGAATAATGATAATAATGATCAATAATATTGGGAATAATCAGGCTGTACGGCAGTGACTCTGGTGTCCATTTATAGCCTTATGTGTTAACTGTAGATACTTACTCTGACTGAAACACTTAAATAAAAAACGAACAAAAACAAATCTGCTTTTAAAAAGTTTTATATTTTCATTTAAAAAAAAAAAAGAAAACTTCATTTGGACAGAGCTCGTGCTGAGCAGGGATGGAGCTCGTGCAGAGCAGGTATGGACCGATGCTGCAGCCGTTACATCTTGAGGACTTGATGCACGAGCTCTCTGCAGCCTTGGCTGGTCCTTCAAACTTTGTAGGTTTTCAGTTTGGAAATAAAAAAAATCAGTTTTATAGGAAGGAAAATTCAGTCTCCTCAGTGTAGACTTGGTACAGCTCTTCTTCTTCTTCTTCTTCTTCTTTTCTTGCTCTCTTGTCATTGGTGGGGCTGGACTTTGGTGGACAATAATGCGGCAATTGTTGATGCTTTGTGACCCATAAAATTTGAGGGTGGCTATTCTGGCTTTGGTATGTAATTATGCAAAACACTTTGCATAAAGACTTGCCATCCGATCTAATGATAGAGCCTGCAGTCTCATTTCCAGAGAGGGAGGCTCCTGCAGACCCTGCACTCCCAGTGACGGAGGAAGAGCTGCCACAATAAAAGCAGGACAAACTGCACATAAGAACACATGCTTTTGTTCAGGTAATTTTGTTGTGGTGTGGATGCTTTGAATTTCACAACATGGGAGAGTGTATCTGAATGGAACTGCTACTTATACAGCTTGTGTAATGCATGTGTTTCTGCAGATCATCTGTCTTGGACTATGTTATCAGACAATAATGCACACTTAGATTTGAACACTACTTTCAGCTCTTTTTGTCTTTTTTGGGGGGGAATTTCAGTGAATTTAAGTGTATTTTTTTATGTTTTTATTTCTTAGCTAGACAGCAGAAATAAAAACGTGAGAAAAGTCAAATTTAAGGTGCACCAGTAGCCTCCCTTTCTTTGTTATGGCACTAAAAAAAACATACATTTTTACACAAGAGTGTCGAAACTAGCTCTAAGCAATACCTTTGGATGTTTCTGTGGTGATTTTCGTGCAATAAATATGAGAAAAAAATGTCATTAGTGTCTTGAATATCTGTGATTTTGAGTGAATCTGCAGCTTGCCTGTCTTTGAGGTGCGCACTGTATGGGAGGCTCCGTGTGTATGCACATAATAAACACTGGTGCTGCCTGATAGAGGTGTGAATCTGAGAGCTTTTCTACCAAATGAAGTGCCAGCAGAGAGAGAAATAAAGAGATCTGCAGCTGTCAGGGGTCAGTCAGGCAGAGATTGCTTCTAGAGATCTTTTGAAAAAATCACACGTTTGAAGGCTTAGTGCTTTGCTGTCTTCGCATTTCAAGCTCAGATCAGTGGAATGAGAAAAAAAAAAAGGAGAACATGGGTTGGAGAATTGTGATGTTGGGATGGACACGGGAGGACGAGTGCTTTTTGGAAGGCAGGAGAGACAAGCCTTTTACCTGATCCTTTAGAGGAGGGAGGCGAGCCCAAGTTTTTGTTCTTACATTAAAACATGTATCACACAATTAAAGCAACAGTGTCTCTAATGTCTGACTGTCAGTGTGTGTGTGTGTGTGTGTGTGTGTGTGTGTGCACAAAACCTGCTCCACACTCTCCCATAATTTGCTGTGTTAGTGTGTGTGTGTGTGTCGAGCGAAAGGAGCAGCGGAGGAAAACAACTCTGGAGTATTTCACTCCTCTCTCATGGAGCAGTCAGAAGCCTTTCAGATTAAACGTGAAACAGATTTTTAAACCTTGAATTCCAAACAGAAATCAGGACTCAAATTAAGACTTTTATGAGCTTCATTATCGGGTATTTTTAGGGAGTCACTCGCCTCTTTAACTGATACTTCCCAGTTTTTCACATGCCTGAGCCAGAGTTGAGGTTTTGCTGAAGTCAGTAGATATTTAGTGGAGATCATTTCATCTGTCTGATCAAAAATCACATTTCTTTTAAGAGATGATTCCTCTGATTTAAAGCTGCTTTCTACTTACGACAACAACTTTTGAATTAAGCAACAGATGAAGTTATTAAACTACTAATTGGGTGAATTTTTTTTTTCACTTTTTCACAAAGATGATTACACATTCTGCAAAATTCAACCAAATTCAGAGATTATTATTATTTCTTTATTTGTAACCTGTTTTTTTTTTTTTTATTTAATGAGCATTTTAAAACTTTTGTTATTATTTTTTCTTTTTCAACATTTTTTTTTGTCTCTTGTTGGCACACACAATATGGACTAAAGCCCATAAAGCATTTAAATTAACATATTTTAGCCAATCACAGCTCAGGACAAAAACCAGGAGAGTGAAGCCACCTTTACTTTGTTATTCTTGCATTTGAAGGACCTCACAGAAAAACAAGTTTTATAAAGTTAAAACAGTTAATTTTTTAGTTTTTATTTAAGCTTTTCTATAATGTCCTTCAGGTTTTTTTGTCCTTGAAAAATCCCCAAACTGATGTGATTCCTGTGTTTGTATGTTGTTTGTTTTACATGACATAGCTCTAACAACACTGGCATGAATCACATCAAAAAATTCACAGATTTTAATGGACTAAATTTGACAACTTCTCTTTCAAACACACAACAATGTGATCCTTAACCCACTCTTCAAACTCTCAGCACAGCAGGAGACGCAACAAGATGTGACTCTTTGATTCCTGAGCTGTGTGACAGTGATCCCGTCCAGGGCCTAAGACTATCTGACAGGCGACATGTGAGCCTGTTTAGATGCTCTTGAAGCATTTTTAACTCCGCACTAAAGCTAATGTTTTGAAACGAGAGGAGTAAACCAAAGAGAAACCGTTAAGAAAAGAGAAAAAGGGTCAAGTAGGCACATTGTGACTGATTATTTGATTAATAATCTTGTGAGTCTTTCAGATTTAAGAGAAAAATCAACTTCAAGAAGCTTTTCACTTGAAATCCTCACGTTTTCAATCAAAAGTGAGTTCTGGAGAAACATATCCTTCTTAGTAAGAACCCCAACTTCTGAGTGTCTTTTCTAACCGCGTCTTTTTTTTTTTCTTCTTCTTCTCATACATCATGTGATTTCTTCTGCCTGCGTCTTGCTCTGGAGGCAAAATATGCAAATCCCATCAGATTTATAACACTCGCTGCCTTTCACTTGTTCATGTGCTTCTGCTGTGCTGTATTATTATTTTCAAGGGTTCTCAGCAGGACATAAAAGGATCATAAGTTATTCTTCCACCTGACAAAAATATTTCATTCTGCCTCTGTTTTCAAAGATGGACCGCAGGAAAAGTGATAATGACGTGATTTATTATCATCTGAATGGACAACGGCGGCCTGATTGCTTTTGACGGAGCTTCATGCAAAGCTGCATATGAAACTAAATATAAATTGACAGGGAATGCTTTCCACAAAGTCCAATTCTTTCATCTGACAGCATCATGTGCTCATTAAATCATCCACAAAACAGGTGATACAAACATTTTCATTCAAACAAGCACAAAAGAAGAAGAAGGAGAAATGCCGGACTTCATTCAACTCAGCGTGGAAATGAAAAGAGAGAGCCCCTCAGTGAACTCTCAGATTTTTAGACAACTTTATAAAGTTTGTCTCTCTGGTTAATAAAGTTTGTTGATCACTGCACCAAGAACAGCGAAAATCTGCTCATAAATCAAAGCTTTTCAGATTTGCACCTGACAGCTTTAGGCTAATATTTTCTTTTCCTTGTCAGGCTTTTATTTTTTGGATCAAGTGGCTGCAACAGAAGGACCTCTGATAGGCCTGGTGTTAAAGAGCTCTGATCTGGGCCGTGACAGCTTAGCCCAATCAGCCTGTTCAACATGCTGCTTTGACTGTCACTTTCAATTTTCACATGACCCCTCGGTCCTAGAATGGGGGAGAAGTGGCAGAAAGTAGGACTGAAAGCTCATATTATCGCTCTGACAGCTTCACTCATCTGAAAGTAATGCAAAACGCAGTTCAGATTTATACCCTGACCTTCTGCTCAAACAGGGAATCTACTGTATCTGCATGTTAGACGCTGAGAGACGCAGACTCCTGCTGCAGAGTTTGTCAAAAAGCAGATTCTTCTCTGCGGAAATATTCAGCAGATGTGACTGAGGGAACAAGAGAGACGCTTAAAGGGACGCAACAAAGACTTTCACGAGATGTTGATTAGACACAACGAACAACAACATATGGAGCAGTGCGTTTCTCTTTTTCCATGCAGAGCTACAACCCACATATTTCCCTGAGCAGATCAAGTGACCAGCAGATCTTCTCCATGTGCAACATGTGGCTCTTTATATAACATGAAGAAATCACACTTTGCACAGCTGATCATATTCTCAATATCCTCCCTGAAAGGTTTTTATCTGAGCCCTATTTATGCTCATGTAGGTCATAAAAGAGGAGCGCTATCAGAGCTGGTGGATGTGGTCATTATCAGACATGGTGCTAGACAGGAGGGAGGGGTTCATTGTTTGCTGGGCGCTGCCTGAATAAGGTGTGTTCATTGTTCATTCTCACCAGTTTTTCACCAGCAGTGCAGACTCGTACACAGACGACCAGTTCCTGTAATTTAAGGTAGAAGTATCAAATCAACAAAAACAGAACCATCACTCATGATGAGCTCTGTACTTCGTGTCGTTTTCTTCTTACTCTCTGATACTTTAGCATATTTCTGTCCAGCTCCAGCGGTTTATAACTTCAAGAGTTGAGTGACCGGACAATAAAGACTGTTGTTATTATTTTTTTCCCCTGTATAATCCACACTTCTTGTCCTCTGCCTGCCCTCCTAATCCCTTGGCATGTGTTGGTGACATCACATGGCTGCTGGCTCCAAGTTCTCATCCCCCTGCAACTGTCATTAACTCTGTGAACAAATGAATAATGACTGGGAGACTCGCTGGCTCCCACTACTGACCTTGGGTATTATTAGAGCGACCTCTCTTTGGCTTGACCAAAAAAAAAAAGAAAACCTTTTTGATATCATTGCTGGAAGTACACTAGGAATGATGGCCTGTCTGCAGGCAGTGTGTGTTTGTGTGTGTGTAGGGGGGTGAGGCTTAGGACTACACACACACCAGGGAGGGAGGGGGGAACCACCAGTGTAGTGTAAACCTATACTTTGCTCCCACTGCTGCTTCATGAATACTTAATTAGAGAACACAGCCTGAAAAAAAAGAACCTGACTCGCTGGTTTCCTGACCTCTCTTTAGCAACAATGCACAATATTTGGGTGTAGCTGGGTGACATGGTCAGACGACATGTTTCTCTGTAAAGGAGAGGAGCCGTTTGGGAATCTTGTCACAGCGAGCGGTGCGATATCATCTGTGCAGAGAGAGAGAGAGAGGGAGAGAGAGAGAGGAGAGGATCAGTCAGGTGTGGCTGTGGGAGGAAGCATCTCCATATGTCACAGGGAGGGCTCTCATAAGAACATGCTGCAAATCACAAGCTGATAGTGATCACAGGCTGCACACATGAGTGTGATTTATTGTCAGCTGCAGCAGAGAAAGTAACCGGGCACTTAGGATTGGTTAGCTTTCCTTCATTCTCATACATTTAGATGGCAGTGATTTTACACACAGCTCTGAATGTGGATCACATCCTGCATTGTTCTTTTTAACCCATTTGACACACAACTACATAAATGTTTAGATATTTTTCTATCATTCTGCTTTTTTGCACTCTGTATAATCTGTTTTATCATCTTACGCAATATTTTATGTATTTTAAATGTTTAATTTCTAACATAGACTTGTACATATTAGTGTAATGTTCATGTTTACTGTCATACAGAGTAAATAACTTGTGTGTGAACGTACCTGGTGAATAAAGCTGATTCTGATTCAACTTCCCATCAGTGTATTTGATCAGATTTCATTTAAATCATAACATGAGAGAGCAGAACTCTTGGATCAAACCCTTGACATGATTTTCCTCATTTCATACTATGTAGATATGAATACCATAGCAGTGCTATTTTCACACAGATGGAAGTATTCTGTTTTGCTGTTAGTTGTCTTTAAAATATAGTTATTGGGGTTGTGTGAAGTCACTGGGAATTTGGGTGTCAATTAGAAAAAATATAAAATAAAACAGTCAGTTAAAGAAGTACGATAAATATCAGCAGTGTAACTAAAATGGAAATACTTGTGATACAGAATTTAACTTTTCCAAACTGCTCATTTAATGGGACATATTTTACTTGTGCATTTATTGAGCTGCTGCAGTTCAAGCTTTAGAATAAAAATGTGTGATGCTCCTTTAAAATATCAGACATCATCACAAAGTCAACTTCCTAATTGTATATATATAAAATTAAAATGATCTCCACCTTGACCAACAACTACAGCAGATTCACACATTTTTGCATCAGTTATGATACTGCAGTAAAATTAGCTGACCAGATTACTTGTTTTTACAGAGGTCTTTTATTTTGAAATAATGAGTTATTTACTTTTGTAAGTGTAGCTAAATTTAGCCAAAGGGGAGTTAATAATTATGTGACATTTTCTACGCAGCACTTACACACATATCATTTCAAAGTATATGTGCACAGAAACATCATTAATACGCGTGAACGAGCCCTGGAGTTCACTCGGTGTGTGTGTTATATTATTTATTAACAAAAGTTCTGAGGCAGCCAATAGGAAATGAGCAGTGTATTTTGACACAAAATGTAATAAAACACCTGGATGTGTTTAAACGCCATCTTTGTCTGACTTCTAATTAAAGACTGAGATCAATAAATGAATGAATAATGGATGAAATCAAACTGTCAGATTGGTAATCTCACTGTGCGTAATGGAGACTGCGGCTCTACATGAACACTGACGGAGACGTATAGAGGCTGTGGCTATTTGCGGCGCGCGCAGGACGAATAAATACCTGAGATGAAAGGTACACACACACACGCACACATACACACACACGGGGGGAGTGCGTGATGTAATCAGTGCTGCCACATCGAGGGCTCTCCATCATTACAATCTGCGGATTGCAATAAAAGTTCCCAGAATTGCAGTGAGCAGCCCAGTCCGAACCAATAGACAATCACAGCCTCTGATCTCAGCACCAATTGAGACACATCCCACCTGAACGTCTCAGAAATTAGACCTGTGGTGGTGCGTTCACGGTCCCGAGATGGACACATAGAGCAGGTGCTTTCCCCTCACTCCCTCTCCATCGATCAATAATCCCCTCCTCAAAAAGGTTTACTAGTAATTATGCTGGCACTGTTTTTTTTTTTTTTTTTTTTACACAGCTTCGCATGGGTCTGGATGGGCAGGACTGAACCGCTGTTTAAGGAGAACAATTAGCCGTTTGGGTTTTGGATGAAATCAGTGAAGCCGAGCGACACAAAGTGGACGACCTCTGTCAGCGGAGAGCAGCGCGCAGAGAGAGAAAGGAGAGAGGAGAGGAGAGCGTCCTCCTGTTCACTCCACACTGATACTGTCGCACACAGAACAGAGCAGCAGGAATTAGATTCATACAGGGTTTATAAGACTCCCTGACCTATCTGTCCATTCATTAAAAACCACTACCGATCATTTTAAAGCGGCTGAATTATTGACATTTAAAGGCGCTGTTTTGGAAAATCCAAATAAAAATATTAAGGTAAGAGATATAAAATAAATTACAAACCAACTACGAGTAAAAACATCCTCCTCTTTTTCCTCACTTTCTATAGTTTGGTTAACTTTTGGTTTATCTGCACCACGGCTCTGAGACGTGCACGCCAACACGAAAAAGAAAAATAAAGAAAATTGTTAAAAAATAAAAAAAATAAAAAAAATAAAACCCTCTGAAATCAGCCGTGATTTTTTTTTGGACCAATCTTTCTGAAAATGTATGTCACCGTTGTTTTCAATTTCAATAGGTCAATAATAATAATAAGAAAAATAATAATAATAATGATAAATCGGCGCAGTTTCCAGTGTCGTAGTGTTTTAAGTCACTTAAAGGTGCACGTGCTTTTTGCAGCAGAGAGCTGAAATAATTCCCACTAACAGAGACCCCCACAGACGAACTCTGCGTGGAAACGACTCGAGTAAATCGGCAGACTAGGACGCAGCAGCCAACAGCAGGTTTCGTGTCACCTGTCAGGGCTGGGCACGCGCGACGTGGAGTTAGAAAAAGAAAAAAAAAAAGAGGGGCGTGGAGGGTTGACGAGAAGTGGGAGTGGATGTGGACGTTTGTGACCTATTATAGAAAGTTTGACTGAGCTCCTCAGCAGACTTATGCTGATGATTTGATCAGAAACTGGAGCACGTCTTCTTTAACTCACAGTGTCCAGTTTGGAGGATGGTGAAAGCTGCTGTGAAAGCAAAAATAGATACTATTGTCCAAAAATTGACCCTCTATTAACATCTCTTTGCTGCATCTGGATGCTGTCACCATGGAGGAGAACAAAAGTCAATTCCTCAACATACCAAATCCCCTCTTTTTAAACGCTTTCCCCCACCAATAAATGGGTGGAGGCCAGGGCAGGAGCCCAATCTCTCCCTTTATCAGCCTCCACACTGCCACATCTCCATCCTCCCCTTTGTTTTGCAGGTGTCTCCAATTACCTGCTAATTTGCCTCTAATCTTGGCACAATTCTTAACAAACATGTTTATCCCCCCCAACAACCAAAGTCCCTGAAAATCTGAACACATAGCAATGACATTCTCCTCCGTTTAAACAATGCAGCCATTTATTAATTTCACTGTAAAAGTATTGCAGCCCTAGAGGGGAGTGAGGAGTGTCTCTTGTGATAGATGCAGGTTGCCGGGTGGCATTTCATTATGAATTTTCTTGGTGAAAGATGAGTGCCAAGGACCAGCCAATTCAGCACAGACACCAGGAGAGAAAGAGTGTTGCTAAGAGACGGGGATGCTGCACAACTTCCATCAGGAGCTTGACTCTGACCTTTATGCAAATTAGCTTCTGCCAAATCTTTTGTGTGAAAGCAGCCGAGATGTCACTAATACCTGGCCCCCAAAAAACATGCTTTAATATCTGGATTCCTCTCAGAATGCAAAATGCACTTTGGGGAGTGTAACAGTGACACAGATCCAGACCTCGGCATCCTTTGAGGGTTTTAATTGAAATAAAAGAATCACTGAAAGTCTGCAAATAAAGACTATGGGTTGCTGCTTTAAACCTTTAATTAATTTTACATCTCTTATCAACATGTTTTTTTTTCCTATGTTAAAACAATTCTCTGTAAACTCGAGTGAAATTAAGAAGCTGACATGTTTTTAAAAATCACCTCAAGATAATTTAACATCATATCTAATCAAATTTGTAAAATATTGCTGCAACTTAAAGTGTTAAGACAGAATCTTGTTCTTCCGAGCTAAAATCTAATGGATGAACCAGGAGGCTGACATTTAGAAGACGCCGTCTCGCAGCAACATGGATTATTCACATGAGACATCAACAAAGTGCAGTTTTCTTGACCTGCGTGTCATTTAACACAAGAATGATAATGATGGTCAGGGGTGGAGAGGTGAGGGGGTTAGATGGCTGGAGAGGGCAGGGGGGGTTATGACCTGCACAAAGGCCTGTATCAGGTTGTAGCAGGTTATCTGAAGAGGATGCTGATAATGGCCTTTTTAGTTGTGCCAGGTTTGATCCTTTCACCGCTGAGCTGGAGAGCTAATCAATAGTCTGAGTAGATCAGTGATATGAGGTTACTGTATGAGCAACCAGCCGCACAACAACAACAATGTGGGCACGCCGGTTAATTGGACGGACGTTTGAAGGGGTCAACATGAGACGGAGAGAAGAACCAGTTATCAGTCAGGCAATTTTATCAACACTTAAAAATCAAATCGATTGCATATTGATTGTGTATTATGTTACTGATTTCTGATGTTCAAAAAAAAAAAAAAAAAAGGTGTGAGGATATTTAGAAATTATAATCATAGCACGCCCGTCATGGATTAACATGTGGGTGCAATGAACCCAACTTCAAGGCACAGGCATAAAATAGCCGTTTTAATCAAAGCTAAGTGAAATATAGATCCTTTCCTCCTGTGGTTCTTCACATTATGCAGAAAGAAAGAGAGAGAAAGAGAGCGAGAGGAGAGAGAGAGTAAAAAGAGAGGAAACAGAGAGAGCAATACACTACCGTGTTCAAAGCCAACCTTGTCAATAGTACTCACAGTGGGCTCGGGGAGTGTAATAGCACTTCCCTGATTCTACATTGATATCATATAATCCAGTGTGCCCCGTTTCACTATCATATTTATCTAACCTGCTGGGGGACAGGCTAAGGGGGACAGTGTCCCTGCTGCTAGGAGCAGACACATTACACACTGCCTCGTGTATTCTTATTGATTACTCCCACCCCGCAGCCCAGGGACCATAATTTAACTCAGCAGGCACTACAGTTAATACTGGAATTCAAACATTCCATCTACACTTCAAGAGACAAAAACAATTGACACTTTAAAAATGTGCAGGGCCTCTCTAAATGGGATCTGAAGGGAATGGATCTCCATTTTCTACTTGGTGCTTTTTTCTCCTCCTCCTTGTGTCTCCTACTTCAGCCTCCTGCCTGAGCTGCTTCACTTCTGTTTCAGAGAACAGGGGGAGATACAGAAGTTTAAGGAATGAAATAAAAGGACATTTCTTCACTTTAAAGAAAGCATGCACTACTTGTTATGGATTTTCAGATAACTTCTCAAATATCTGGATATATTCAGACAAATGCAACAAGAAGACGCTTTAAAATCAGATTCATTTCATTGATTGAAAACTTTTTCAGCCAATAGAAAGTTCATGACAATCTTGCATTTTAAGTGTGTGAAACCTCAAACTTTTTAGTCTCCAAAAATTTAAGAACAAGTGATCAAAAGTATGTCAAATATTTCTAAATATATTTCCAAAGATTTCAAGATCCTCCTCGTGGAAATTTATCCCTCAGCTGCTTTTTTTTCCTCTGTAAAATTATTACCACACATATCAGCGAGAAGCCTCAGATCAACTCATTATTTTAACTTCAGCATCCCTGGTTCACTGTGTGATCATGATGATTTGGTGGGTTAAAGTGGAGTCCACTGACGCTGGTGAAGCTAACAGCAGGGAACATTCAAACAAGAAATACTGCAGCTCAGTATCATGGGAAGAGAGGCTAAAGGGGACGATATTAAGACTCAATTAATGTTGAAATTATGATCACAGCAGTTCAGTAACTCGGAGAAACTGTGGTGCATGCTCCATATAATATCATACTGTATTATAACCCTTATGATGTTAAGGATATTGACCTCTTCATCTCTATATGACTACACTGTGAGACGATAAATCAAGGTGTTAAGTTATAGTCTGGAACTTATACAAATAAAGTAAACACACAGGAAAGAGATTTTGTCTACAGGTAAAGCCCTTCCCCATTATAGAGTTCATTAAATAAAGATTATGGGGAAAGCGATCAAATATACACCCATTTGGAACCTGAATTTCTTGAGACAGATGAAGTCCACACTGTGGTGTTTTTTCTAAAGCTAAAATGAGCATCAGTGGGGATTAATATGCATTAATTAAATTGACTCTGTTTCCTTTAATGAGAGGGAAAGGATTTGATGTTAATGCTGTTGATCTCACTGAGGCTTCAATCCACCTAATTAAGCAGTATTTCTGCAACACACTAAAATAATCAATAAAAAAAGATATTTCATCACTGTTCTGATATTCAGATGATTAAATCACATCACATGTTGGCTCACCTCAGCAAAGGCAGAAATAGTCTTCCTCAGTTTGGGAACATGTTTCTTTTTTTTTTGGCGGAATAATTAAAAATGCAGTTTTTTTTATATCAGTGCTTTTAGTGGTAGTGTGTGTCTGTGGCAGCACTCACTGTTGCATCTGTGTGTTGTGCAGAGATAGAGCGTCTGTGGAGGGCCAGGGAGCAGACTCCAGAGATCCATCCATCTCAATCTGAGGCTACAGCTGACACCTTACAAAGAGGTACAATTAATAAGGGCATTATCCAGCAGTAGGCAACAATGGAGTCCTAACGCAGAGACACCAACCTCGGGAGGCCCTGGGAGGGGAGAAAAGGAGCGTGTGTGTTTATGGGAGGGGGGAAGGGTGAGCCAAAGTGCTTCAAAATGGGATGCATTACAACCAATGTCTGCAGAACATGAATTACATTCTATTATAACTGAGCCTTATGATGGATGAGACCAGCTGCTATGCCTGCTAAATGGGTAACTTTTAGCAGCCTGTCCTGCGGCTCTAAAATCTTTGTATCTTAGATCTTTCATTTCAGAGTAAAATGAACATCTTTAAAATGATTTCAATATCAGGATTTGAAAAGTGCTGTAAACACAGCGCCGCCAAAACAGAGCACTGGAAAGATGAATAAAAAGAAACTTTAAAAACTAAAGAGACACCCGCCTGATTGCACTTTGTTTGATGACAGGAGTTCAGTTAATAAAGGCGTTATAAGGAGGAAATGTGAGATATCAAATACAGCAGAACCCATAATGGAGCTCTCATGAAAGTGTCCTATTAGTGCAGGTTGAGTGCAGGCCTATGGTTCACAGGGGAGAGGGCGGAGACGCCGCTGCACTGACATTTACAGCAATCCAGGAGTTGTTTGTGGTCACTGGACTGGAGACAAACGCTGAACCCAAGGGTCAGAGGTCAGGGCTAAATTTCATCCACAGTGGAGGTCCCTCTGTTGGAAAAGACAAACAGAGAGAGCAGCTGAGGTGTGAAGTGTCCCTGCTGTCGGGGAAATCAATCAATTGTCATGTATAAACACAACCTTGACCAAAGGAATACAGAGCAAGAGAAATGTTGGCGTAAAATGGGAAAAGGGACAATAAACATGTAGAGATCAATAGCAAACGGACGGACATGTGAAACAATAGACTGGGAGCGTCTTCTTAAATAATGAACTCTAATCGCTTTTAAGTCTGTTTCAGTTTTTGAGACAGAGTCAAGAGTCCTCCACAGCGTTCGTTTTATATTTTTCTTTTCGCTCCGCGGGGAAAGGATGAGCCTGGTTATGGATTAACGCTGTGATCAATAACAAGATAGGAGAGCGGCTCCCTAAGCTGAGGAAAATTAATTCGAAATGCAGTCAAACTCTTATCGACCCAGAGCCAGGGGTTGCTTTCATTGCAGGTAGTTGATAATCCACCAATATTGTGATGAGCGGCTAATCTCTCATTTTAAATATGACCTCCACTGCTTATAATAAAAGTCAAGACCAGCCGTCCATTTGTTGTCCATACAGCACAGGGTCTCTGGAGGTTCACTGTCAGCATCCACATTTCCTCTACCTTGAGCGGAAGTCCAGAACTCAAATACCCTGATCTCAAAGTGATCTCGCTGAAAACCTTTGAATAGTGAAGAAAAAACATCTACTTTTCAAACATATTTTTATCCTGATTTAAGAGGCTTTAAATCCTGGCATGGTTAAAAGCACACAAAAGATGTAAGTCAACAGTGTCTTTGAATGTCAAGACGATGCCATGTTTGACATCCTATTTAACAAATTAAAGTTTTGCCAGATGTAAATAATTATGAGTTTAAAACAAATGCCAGACTGTGACTTAAAATAAAACACAACAGCAATTTAGTTAAGTTCTCTGACATGTACGTAAATGTACGATTTCTAAAAGTGATGCATTAGCTGTTGTGATCATTCCTCTCAGCCTTCAGTTCAACAGAGTACAGAAAAACAAGTGGCTCTTTTTAAAATATTATTATATCTTCTTTCGGGTTAATAAGATCAACAGCAGATTATAGTCAAAAGATGTTTCCAGGCAGAAGCAGTTTTCTCTAATACGAGCCGAGGCCAGTTAACTCCACCGGGTCAATCATCCTTTCCAATCAACCAATCAAAAGTTGCTCCTTCATGACACCAGGCAGCTCTTCTGATCTGCCCCGGTCACCTCCAGCTAAACACGGTTCACAAACCTTCATCACTGAAGAGCAGAGTCAGAGCGGTGTTAAAATCAGACGCCAAACAAAGCAGGTTAATTGCTGATCAACACAGTGTGACTTTAATGAGGCCTAGTTGCCCACGGCCAGGCCCAGTTCACTTCATCCACACTTTTTCCCCCGACTGCTCCACTTTCTTTCATCTTGTTTGCTTTCTGCTGGGACTGTCATTGTTGCTTTTAATTACTCCACCACCAAATGGTACAGATGAAAGATAGGTGTGTGTAATTAATAAAATTTCCATAAATTTGAATCGGTAACCAGTCTCATTAGCTTGTGCCTTTTGTCTTGACTGAAGTTCCCATGTCATCTTTTTCCAACTCTAACTCGGCAGTATGATATCACTTAGGGCAGGAATCGCTTGATTCGCAGCATATTTTCTGATAATCACATTAACTGTAGGTAATTAAATGCAGCACATACTGTAGCTTTACACACTGATTGAGGGCAACCTGAAGAAAAAAAATGCCAATTGTTGTGTTATGAAACTCTAGCGTCTTTTCAATTAGACTTCTCAGAGGAACACAGGCATGCTCAAATATATAATCTAATTGTTGAAAACTCATCTTTGATCATGTGTAATCAGGATCAGGGATGTGTGCTGCATCTCTGGGCCACTAACTAAATGAGTTGCAGTGCTGCTGGCACTTAGTAGCTTGGACTGTAGTCATCTTGGCAGTAAGAGAGCTGTGGTGTGGTGTTCACATGACAAAAAAAAGGACAGTTACACAGAGGGGCATTTGGAGGAGAAAACACCTGTTGTTTGGATCACTTTAAATCTGTTTGCATTGGAAAGCCTGGACTGACTTTTGTCGTGGTTGGGGTTTGCATTTTGATTGTGATCCTGTTGATTTTTTTTAGAGCAAATATAACACAAAAATGGTTTTCCAACAAAAGCGCTTATGCAAAGTTTTTTTTTTTTCTTGTCAAAAACAATAAAAAAACAATAACACTTATTCATACATATTAATAATTCATCGCACTACAGCATAAAACATTATTTTATACATAATAAAGCCGCCCTCCCATCAATATTGTAATTTTTTCCAGTTTAGCTGCAAACTAAAAACGAAGCTAGTCTCAATTATAGCAGACCAGGTCAGACTCAGGGAAACATGTCTTTGTTGCTTTGTGGCGGAGCTCTATAATCTTGTGGAGAACAGCCTGTCATTACCAGGCTCTGTGGTAATAGACTGACATGGATGCTATGGGGAGCAATTGATTCCACACATCAATCAGGAGGGAAACTCATCTTAACGATTGCCCAGAAGTGGCTTGTTTGTCCTCAACATCCCGATAAATGCTAACATGGAAGCAGAGGACAATACCTTCAGCTGAATGAGGGGGTAGTTATCTGTCATAAGAAATTCATTAGTATACTCCTTCAGTACCCATGTCTTTCTTCTGATATATGCCAACATGAGGAGCGCTTGCAGATGTTGTTTGAAAGAGAAGTGAACTTTGTTTTTAATTAAGAGTATTATAATCTTGCTTGATACTATTTTCAAAAACACTCAAATAATTCAGAGTTTTCTCGCTAATAGGATCTTTATTTTGTCTTGAAGAGACGCAGTCGCCTGTCTTCCATCATAAAAGTTCTCCTCCGCGTCTTTATCTGCAGACATCTGTGCCGGTGTGTATAAAAGACGCAGCTGGATGCAGAGAATCTCCCATCCTCGCTGTAAAAGGGAAGGGTCCCACCTGATTAAGAAGGGCAGGGGAAAGACTTTGGCAGGCCAATGGGAGAGGTCAAGGATAGAGCAGCCAGCCTCACTCCCCCACCACATCATTTTTGTATGACAGCACCACCCCAAGGTTGGAGTTCACGCAGACTTTTCATGAACAGAGCGCTTAACGTCAAACACAAGATTAAAGCGGGGGTGTCGCATCTTGGCAGGACCAAATGAAAATATCAACTGCTAAGCCCCCCTGTGAAAAGCCAGGGGACAGGTATCTAATATTGGAGAGTAAGCCTAGTTAGCAGAGGCAGCCTGCTGCTTTCCTCGCTCTCAGTGCTGGTCAAAAGGCCAGGCTGGCTTTGGAATTCCTTTATTGGTGAAATATATTACAGTAGAGGCCTGCAGAAGCGCCTTATTAAGGAGACAGAGAAGAGATGCCCTCGTGACATATCGCAGGAACTCAGGACATTTCCATATTACTGAAGAAAGATCTCTGATTTTCTTTTTTTTCCCTGTGCATTAAAAGTCAAGCCAATAAAAATGTGCGTGAACAAACATTTACTCTGTGCTTCATAATTTATTTCTTATATTTTTAAAGTTTATTCTATTACAATGAAAGGTCTTTTTTTAAACAATAATGCACTTTTCTGTGTTTTTTTCAGACATTTTTAGAGAAACCTCGTAATTTAACGATCAATGAAACCAACAGATTGTCAAAGTCGTGAGCTCCAGTTTACAGAAAATCCAGAATTTGAAGGAATATTTCAGAGAGAGAGTCCATGTTGTACACGAATGACTTGTTTTCTTCCTCGCAGTGTAGCAACAGAAGCTGGTGCTTCAGCTCTTTAAGTGGCTTGGAAGCATAAAAGAGGCTTATCTGCCCCTCTTATTCCTCCATCAGATGACCTGAGGAGAGTTAAAAAGAAACAAAGACGCACGACACTCACTCCACTCTCTGTCTGTCTGTCTTCTGTGCTGCTCTTCATCCGACCACCTTTTTTAAAACTTTTTCTTTTTTTTCTTGTTGATTTGGTTGTAAATCTGAAAAATTTTAGGTGTAAGAATAAGTATTTGACTTTTTAAGGAAATATAACCAGCAACAGAAAACTCTCCTCACTCTGAAAAGAAAAAAAAAAAAAAAAAAAAAACACGAGGCAAAGTTCACGACCTGAGTTCACGGAGCGAACAGACTTGAATGAACACACAGGAGTCTGACCACAGAGCAACTTTTGTATGGAGACGTCTTCTGCCAGAGTCTTTTCGCAAAGTTTCAAGCCTCATTTTTTCAGGTCATCAAATGTCATTTTGGTGTTTTGGATTTTAAAAAAGAAAACAAATTGTAATATTTTAAAATAACTAGAAGAATTAAATTTTGGTTGAATACAAATAAATTTTAAGGGATTGAAAACAAAATTTGTGACCGTTTCTCACGCCACTTCTTGTGCTCAGTTTGACATTGTAGGTAAATAAATGGCTTACAGATTTTTTTTTTCTTCATATGATCCTTGGAAAATGCCTATTTTTTTTCTGTAACATAGCACTATTTATAATCAGAAAGTCTAGTAAGACATGAAGCTGATCTCGAAGGCTTTTCTATAATCCCTCCCCTGGAAGTGGTCTTTATTGGAAGGCTAGTTTGTGATGGGCTCACCCAGCAGCACAATGTTGCAGTGGGATACAGCATTCAGCTTAAGCCAACTTATCAACTACATTCAAAGCACATCCATTGAGCTATGTGGGGAGACTTTTTGCAGATCTATTAAAAATACTCTTATCTGTATTTAGCATATGCTGTGTATGTCAGTGCTGGCAGCTTTAGACGGATTTACACTCAAAACACCTCAAGCTATTCTTGAGCTGAAACTACTGATAACATTGGAAACTTCTGCAGACAAGCAGGTTTTTACAAATAGATAAATGCATTCAACATACTCTTCTCTTATTATTTACTTGTCATTTTTTCTTGCAAACTGGATTTTATTTTTAAACACCAGTTTTGCTCCTTTACTACAGTGCTATTTGTGTTAATATTTTCAATTCCCCCTGAATAAAAGCTGTTTTCCAAATGAATTTAAAAGAAGTTTGCTCACTGGTGACAGGAAAGATTAGAAAGTTACAAAATAAAATACTCGCCCTTTCACACAGATTAAATTACAAAGGGGAAAATAATTATTCAGGTCATATTTTAAGAGGTGAAGAGGCAAAATTAGAAATAATTACATATTTTTATTCTTAGTTTTTATTTTTTTATTTGTATAATTAGATTAAAATAGTTTCCCAATTAAGCACAAACAAAGAAGAGTGTTTGTTAAAAAATGTTGTTGCTAGTGAACAAGAACTTTTGGAATCCAGCAGCAAATAATGTGGGAATAATCCACACGTGAGGCTTTCAGTGGGAAGTCCTTCAGAGGAAACGTAGCAGAAAGCATCACATTCTCTCTCTTTCTTTCACTTTTTCTTTCTCGGCTGCAGACAAGCCCTATTTGTTCTACCCAGTAATTACTACATACTGAGCCAAGCTCATATTTACTCAAACTCAAAATGTAATTAAATCTAAATTTATTAGAATTCAAAAAATACACAAATTGACTTTGGGCTTTTTTCCTGTTGTATAAGGAATTCTGAAGATTTATGCTTCAAAAAAATAAAGGAAAATAAGTGGGGAGAAATTATTTATTCACAATATTTGCTTGACTTTCATGCTCTGCTACTTTTCGAGGATTTGTGTTGTTGTTCTGAATATTTTCATGCTCTAAATATTTATCTATCAGTGTTTTTTTTTTTTTTTCCAGCAGTTGCAAGCAAACCTTTATTTAACTCTGCTCTCGGGGCTGTAGAGGTTTGGCCTTTGAAGCGATTGAGAATGAGCACGGTTATTCATGCTGCATTCAATGCTGAGAACTGAGACCAAAAACAGCAGTATCCTCTCATACCTGTTGAGAACACTTTCATCCTTAATGGGCTCATTAGCCACATTGTTAATTGAGTGCTATTCAGGCCAACATCAAAGCTAATAATAATTGTTTACTTACTTCTTTACTTCACCAAAATAGACCCAAACTATGGCAGAAAGCTGCTCTCCTGCGAGGTGTATGTAAGGACAAGGAGCCATGCCTCTGAATGAAGTGAAAAACAAACTAGAAAACACTCTCACAGCTGAAAGTTTCACTGCACACCCAACAGCTCTGCTTTATTTTCAAGGACTGCACGGATTTGGAAATTTGTGGAAATGACAGAAATAAAAAAATCTCCTGCAAAAAAAGAGAAAATAAATTCACTTATTTTTGTTTGGCTGCAATTCTTACTTTTTATTTTCTTAAATTTAGAATTAAAATTGTTAAAAAATTAAAATTGTTCACATGTTATAAAGTATTCAGAATTTTGCAATTATAAATAATACTACTACTAATAAAAATAATAATTAAGATAACTATTTTTATTATCACAATTATAATAATAAAAATAACGCATTTATCTATGTATAGAAATATATATAGATATACTCTTGGTCCTGTAAGTTTCCTCTCCCTGGCGCTGCTGCCACATTAGTGGATAATGGGATCCGAAAATGGAAGCTAACTCATTGGAATTAAATTTATCAGCATGTGCTCAGAGGTAATAAGCTGTCAGTTATAAAATGAAGATTTGTATTTAGATATATGATAGGAAGAAAAATGAATGGGCAAAATAAATGAAGCTGCTTTACAACTAAATTACTTATTTGGAGGCAACAGAGCGGGAAGAGAATCATGATGATGACGATGATTATTGCAGATAATATTTTCCCTATGGAGGTGAAGATAGCAAATATGAAATAATTATGTAACGCTGGCCCACGAAGAGTTAACAGGAGAGAATATTTGCAGAAATGTTTTGATAGAAAGGACCACACCTTGAGGCATTATCAAACATCATAATGTAGGAAATCTAATTAGGACTGAGGGGAGTGTTACTGATCAGAAGCAGACGGTGTTCAAACTATACCCACACTGACACATGAGGCATTAATGTTTATCTACAGAAATATACCAAAACACAAACATATCTGCTTGTTTTAACCAGGATGAGAGCCCTCATAGAGCTCATTATGGAAATTATGTAAATAAAATGATTTATGGAACTTTTGTTTACACTCGTGTGTTTAATACAGCAGAGCAGAGAGGCTTGGATATCTGTTTCAAACTGAGAAATTTCATCTGAACAGGTTTTCTATTTTTACAAAAAAAAAAGGCAGAGCTGATGAAAGCTAGTCTAAGTTACAGCAGAGCTCGGGGTGAAGGCAGCTGAATTTCAATTGATTAGGTAGCCATGCATGATGAAAGTTTTTTTTTTAAATGACACCATAGTGAAAACATTTCAAAGGAAACAATCCCTGCTGTATGCCAGCAAGTCTGCAGATGTGCCAGAACGCACATGAGAGAGTCAGATAAGAGTAAAGTGAATAAAACACCACATTCAAATACACACTACATCTAATGATATATGACATTAACTGTCTTATTAGAGCTTCTCTTCCTCTGTTTTCCCAAACACTAATTTGTAGAGTGTGTTATGTGTCATTTTGTTGTTTAGTGCTGACTTGATTGATTGTGCATTTTTTCTTTATTCGTGTATTAATGAAACCGTTTTCGCAGGAACAGACTTTAAGACTTTTTTTTTCTGACTGTTGATGAAAAGCTCTAAAATGTTGCTATTTAAATAAAAGTTTTGAAGCTTAAGAATGAAAAAAAAAAATCACTATTGAGAGCTTCTTATCCAGCAATGGTGCAAAACGGATAAAATCAGAAAGCTGTTGTAGGTTTTCATATATATCATTTATTGGCAGAAAAAAAAAAAGATGTGAGATAGGCTTATGTTCTTTTATCCGAGCTGCGGGTGTAAACAAGCAAAGAAAGGTGTATTAAAAAGTGCTGTGTCTATAGGGCTCATGTGTGACGGCTGTCAAATCATTAAAAAGGAGAGGGACTGTTATCAAATGCTCGGGATCAGCAATAGTGGTGGCACATCACTGAGATGAGGTATGTCTTCCATGGGGGCAACTTGAGGGCCTTTTGTGAATTTATAGAGAACGATAAAATCAGCTTCATATTTCTCCACCAAATGGGCTGATGAAAGCAGCCTGAGAGAGAGAATTACATGGCAAGAGTTTTGTCACCAGGCCCATAGGCTTTCTAGGTTGGGAATTGAAAAAAAAGGTAATGAGAAAAGCCATGCTGCCGGTTGGCTGTGTTTAATAAGTCATCATGCCTCTATCTATTGTTAGTCCCGCAGACCACCACCAAGATTGTGTTTTCACCATGTTTAATACTCTGCAGCCAGCAGGCATCTCAATGGATATAATACATCCAGCACAGTGCAGCAGGCTAGCAGCTTATAGCGCAGACAGCATTACACAGAGGCATGTGATAACAGAGAACAAAGAACAAAGTGGGAAAAATGAGACTGTTCTCCAGTTGCCTCTCTTCTTGAAGAATATGTGATTGCAATTAAGATAGATGGCTTTACCCCCCTCCCAAAAAGAAAAAAAAAAAACTAAAGACCAGCTTTGGGACAGGGTAATTATGTGCAGAACTTAGTAATTCTGTTCCTCTCTGCACATTACAAACTACAAGACTGAATCCGTGGATTGTGATTAAAAACTAAAAAAAAAAATAAAGTATAGCATCCAGGCAGCATGATAGAGAGTGACATAAACGCAGCAGTCCTTAGGATGCTAAGATTGATACTTGGGCAGATGTTTTTTGCTCCTTTTTTGAACTGGTTCATCTCATAACTCATCAAACATGTCCTGTGATCTCTTTATTTTTCTTACAGATTTTCTATCGTAGAGCAAACTGGGCATGTAGACGAAAAAAAAAAAAAAAAAATGAAGCAGCCTGAAGGAAAATGAATTTTAATGCGAGCTGATGATGAATGGTCGAACTGATTTTCTGGCAAAAACTAAAGCTTTGTAACGACACTTGACATACATCTGATGAAAGGGAGAGTATAGCTGAAACAAAGGACTACTTTTAACTGTTTGTGTAATTACTGTATGACACATATAATGGGCCACATTTTACATTCTGACAGCACACTCAGAGCTATCTTTTGTCTTAATGTCATTGCCTCTGGGTATGCATGACAAGAACACCATTACTACACTCAATCCACGCTGGATTGTTTGTTGTACATTTGTTCTCTTCCATCTACGAACATGAGAAGACCTGCTTAAAAAGACAGGCTCGTCACACACTCTGATCAACAAGAGTCAGTCAGAGGAATTTCTGAGCCGTGCTGAGTTTTTAACATGGAAATTGGCTTTGAACCCCATCTGCACAGGTCGGCACATCTTTGGGCAAAGCTCTGCTACTGCTGACAGGGAAAATGAACCATCAATTCCTTATAATGTGGCCTGATTATTATCCCACTAACCCCCCTGCAAATTCTAACTTAGTGAATTTCTGCACCTTATAAAATCCACAGGGAGGACCTCATATCTTTTTGTTTTTTTCTAAATCACAGCCTAATGGGAGCACTGCCAACATAGCAGTTCCAAGGAAAGTAGAAAACCTTTGACAAAATACTTTTAGATCTGTGAATGTTAGTTTTACTAGCACACTTGAAAACTCACCGCCTCATGTCCGATATATGGAAAAAAACAAAATGCTTTAAATCCCAGACCACCTTTATTTGTTTATTTCTTTTTAAAGAGGCTATCGAAATCTCATTAGAAACAAAAAAATTGACTATTTGGTTTTTGAGTCTCCTTGTAGTGAAATTTAGGACAAGATGGTCACTTTTGAACCTTTGATAGAGCAAAAAAAGTTCCTTTTAAATACACTTACTTTTAACTTTAAAAATTTATATTATCAAGGAAACGAAAAGGTTTCCTTGGTGATAAAAATAAATATACCAGTCTTTCACAGGGAGAAAAAAAAATCCAATTTCAACATCTTGAAATGATAGAAAAGTAAATCCTACCTGTGTAGAAATGTTGATTTCACACCAAAATCTCAAAAGAAAATAAAAAAAAAAATCAAGATTTTTGTATAATATTATTAACAAAAGAAAAAAAGGCTAGATTAAGAGGTTTAGATTCCTGACAAATAAAATGGGACACATGATACAAACCCGAGCAAAGTTTGAATGTGTGGAGTGTGTTCAGCTACTTGGGGAAGGGAGCTGTCATCCAATCTGGGATGTCTTTATTTGACACGATTGGTTTTGTTCAGTTTTCTTGAGTCAGTCCGGCCCGCCAGTGTCCCTTTCACCCCTAAAAGCAGCTGGGCCCTGACCCTTGCCGCGCTGGTCCTCAAAGCTGAGCTCCTTTCAGCCCCGGGCGTATAGGGACCCTCCCTGTTCCCTCCCACCGGCTACATCCCATTCAGCGGCGCAGATAACTTTATTCATCTTGTGCATCATTGTATCAAGTTTGAATGCAGAAACTACGCAGACACTCGAGTGAATTGAACTAGCGTGCATGTATGTGTTAAGGACAGGAAAGAAGGGGAGGTGTAATGTCTTAATTTCTTGGTTTTGACAGAAATGCATGCATGGCTTCACTTTGAAACACCACCTTCAGCCTTTTCACTCCACCACGAGTACTTGCAGTTTACTTGAAGTATCAAATTTGAGGAAGATGGTGCCATGATTGCATGTTAGGGCTTAAAACATTGTAATCATGCTGGAGAAATTAAACACATTTTGACAATTACACCAATGTCTGCAGATGATTTCAGTGTGTAACTGGTGTTCATTTACATAAAAGAGCCAACTTTTCTTTTTTTTTTTTTTTAATTTGGTAAACTCTCTGATCCCTTGCTTGTGATTTAGCGATGCAGCTGGTGGGGACAGTTGAGCTTATTTTCACCTGCCTAACACCAAAACAGCACCAGGACCACCCTGCTCTTCTCTCATCATTCATATTCAAGCCAGGGCCTCTTGACAAGTCTGCTGATCTCACTCAATGTTTTGTGATTTGGACAATACGTTTTCACTGTGTGGGCAAAAATGCTGAGGCCATCACACTTCTTGAGGCCGGTCTTGTGAGACTCAACTGAGGCAGAAGCTCTGAATTATTCTTCTCCGCTGAGAGAGTTTATGCTGCTCGGTGGATCTGCTTGATCCAAGGAAAGAAACGCTGCAGTCTGCATACAGGGGATTCGTATTATTTAACTCATATGACTGAAATACCAGCATTTATAAAACTCATCTTAATGCTGGGGAGAAGTGTAAGTGTTCACGAGAGTTTTGTTTGTTCCACATCCAAAACTTTAAGTTACACTTTAAACCATGAATTGTCAGTTTAACCCTAAAGTCTGCAATAAGACCCACAAATTAAAAACCTTACAGCAAAGTTTTCCTCAACATGGTTCATTAAGTTCAATGTTTACTCAAAAATGCGTTTAAAAAATACATTTGTTCGAAAACTCTATCAAACAAAGCAAGAAATGAAGACTAAAGATCTAAATCTTGTCATGTTAGACTGAATATTTCATCTAGTGATTACAAGCCAAGGTCCCTCAAAGGTCTGTGTGTGTGAATTTCACATGCTTTAAGATAAATTTAAAAAGTTTGGTAAATGTTAAAAGCTTTCCCCTCAAACTTTTAACTCATCCTTATAACTTTTTTAATGCCATGTGGTTTTTGGGGAAGTTAAGCCCAATGACACTGAAAAATATGATCGTCCATAAAGAGCTCATATATTTGTGATGTGGCCATTGGTAAAATCCTTTTGGGGATTTCAATATCTAAAAGAGAGAGGTTTATACATTAGCGCTGTAGTTGCAAAACACTGTTGATATTCAAATGATTATTGTGCAAAATCTGGGATAAGCTTCTGTGTGAGAGCTCTTCTAAGTGCCTACAACTATTGCTAATTCCCCTCGCCATTGTGGGCTGAACAAAGGCCTTAATCCCATTTCACTTTTGCAGAAGGCTGGGGCTATTTTCCCTCTCATAAACCAACAACACTCCCCCTAGCCAGAGCTGAGAGGTTCTGAGAAAGGGGCCAGTGTGTGTATACTTCAAGGCTTTTTTGTCCAACTTGGCTAGCGCTCTGCATAAACTTTTAAGTGGTCCCAGTAGGCCCCAGACACCTTTTGGCAGAAAAATAAGCTACCACAAACTGTAAAAAGGAAACCAAACACTCTCTTAACCTGGACAATACAAAAGAAAATATATGAAGTCTTTTATGACTCGGATTGGGTCTGGACTGCAAAGAGTTAACATGTTTTTTTCAGGCGTTCTTCTGAAAGCAGCTCCCTTTCTCTGCATTGTAAATCCTTTAATACATTATTTATAACATGGTGGTCCACTATCAAAGCAAGTGAAGGAGGACAGGATTCTGTTGGAGCACTTTGTAGTTTAGCTTCGGCTCGCAGTGGAAAAATAAAACCACTTCTCTGACTTTGACATAATATTTTCCTTTGTTATTCAACCCACTTCATTTTTTACCTCTCAAATTTATGGTTTAATTAAACAGTTTCAGGGATTTTGTCCATTCAATTATAAGTACTTCACAAGGTCTGAGCTGCTAATGTGAATGCTGTCAAGAAGTATAATTACTTTTTCATGTTAAAATAACAGGTATGTGTTTCAGGCTCCAGAATAAGATCTCTGCTTCCACAGGATGAATGAAAATCAAACATCATATGCAAAGTTGGCCCTTACATGGCTGCTCAGTCCAAATTTATGAATAAGCAGGATATACACACTTCTGTAGAGAGCACAGAAAGAGTGAAACTCCCGAGAAGAGGCGGTAATGCCAGAAAGCCCAGTTGTTCAGAGAGTAAGTGATGGCTTTATTCAGCTGCAGTGTCATGTGGTGCATGTGAACCAGCATGCAGACCAGCATGTGGCCCGTGTTGGCTCATGTTAGGTGTGTCGTTTGAGGGTCTTCTTGCACTTAAAAAAAAGAAGGGGCTCAGCAAATACAAATCAGCCAGGAACAGCCAGACAAACCGTCTTCCTCTAATCTTAATCAATTAGACACCCATGAAGTGCAAACAAATCACAAATCTGTCAGCGCACACAAAACAGTGCAAAGAATCTGCACGTTACATGCAGTGTAGACAAGCTGCACCCCTTCCTACAAAGCTGCTGGGTTGAGTCCTTTAAAAAGCCTCGCTTCACCCAGATCATATTTGTGCCATTGACTTCCAGTGTAATAAAGAGGATCTCTTTTCTAAGATGCCCACTGGAATCCAGATCTGTTAGCTTAATATCCACTGGGATCCACTGAGGTGAGTGTAGCCTTTCACATACAATACCCACTCTTGAAAAGTGATATGTCTTTGCCTGATGTTAATGCTATGTAACATCCCAAGATAGCTAAATTTATCCCCAGCAAACAAGGTCTAATGATATTTCCTTCACTAAAGCTGACAGAGAGGAAAGCCATGGTAAAAGTCTTATTGAATTTTTACACATGCAAACAGGGAGTCATGTATCAAACCCTACCAACTGAGGACCACCTGAGGCTTTTACAGCGGAGGGGCTTTAAGTGGGGGGTTACTTGTCTTATACCTGCACTACCAACAAAAACAAAAACAAATGTATCGATCTGAACTAGTCGTCCTGTACCAGCTGTTCAAAAAACCCTGGCCTTTTCGAAAATCCTGCAGCGTACATGTTTTTTTCCTAACAACACACCCTAGAAAATAAACCCCCCGAATCTACGCCCAAATTCTGGTCTTTCAGAAAGATTTCATCCAACCCTACAGTATATTTAGTTCCTCTCAGCTGCATGTAAATCTTTGTGTATGGAAAACAATGACAATACTACATTATAAACCATATAAAACAAATTTAAGATCAAGTTAAGAGAAAAAAATAAAGTTGAATGTCTGAACTTTTTGGTGATTTCAAACCAAACGAAACTGATAAAACTTTCTTTCCATAATCTAATCCTGCAGGATTAAGCTGGTTCAACCTTGCCCAACCATTATATTATTGTAGCATGGCACAAGTTGACATTGTAGGAATAATCCCTCAAACACCCTAAAAAATGCAGCAGAACACAATCAAGGTTTTGAGTAATAGCAGTGGTCTATCTGGTGAGTGGGTTGTTTGAAAATGATCTTTGTAACCGACATGTTGTTAGTTTCCCCACAGAAAACGTTCTGGCGGTAGAGTCTGGCAGTCACTCCGTCCTCAGGGTGTCTAGACTGAGTTTACTTACATTCATTTAGTTGATTACTAAACAAAATCAAACCCATTTCAAAAACTCATTCATCTGACTTTAAATGTGGTGATCACAGGACCCACTTAGACACTGAGAAGGAAGCTCTTGGAAAACGGTTGTGGGTACTAGTTTTAGTGGGTTGCATTTTACTCTGCTTGTAATCTTCTCCTGGCTTGCAGAATTATAGTTTTATCTTGATGGAGTCAAGTGAGTTTAGCATGTTTTTTGTTTCTGTGTGAAGAGTTAAAAATGTAAAAAACATAATCTCCAAGGTCAGCCCAGTACAATTTCTTGGAAACACATCATTTCAGGTAGCAAAAGGTTTGTGTAACCAAGGGAGAGTCTACTCTAGCTTAGGGCTGGGCGATAAAATGATAACAATATATATCAAAAATTACTTTCCCTCAATATCAATATCTAGTGAGTGGTCAATATACTTTCTCGATAGCCGGGCATTCTGCCATGTTTTGGTAGACTATACGAATAGCCAATGAAAAGGGAAGTAGCTCCGGGTCCACTTCGCGCTGAACCAATCATGTGCTGAATTAGAACCAAGTAGCAAACAACTGCGTTGGAGCAGACTGCAGCTACACGCAACCATAGCACTTGAACACGTGAAGCTGACGGCACTGTCGGTGAGAAAAAAAGAAAATGAGTGCTGAGAAAAATTACGTATTTTGTTTTTTTGAGGTCGGACATGAAGCAGAGTAATGTTCATTGCAAATTATGTCGAGTACATGTTCTCGCAAAGTCTGGGAATACCTCAAAATTTTTTGAAGCAGTGCCATGCGGCAGAGCAAGCGCAATGCAAAAGGATACAAACCCTAAGCGGAGCAAGGAGCCCATGGCGCCTGTGCAGCTGAAACAGCAGACCATTCAGTCCGCTTTCTCTAGCGCAACGCCTTACGACAAAACGTCAAAGAGACACAAAGACCTCACAGATGTAGTATCTTATTGTATAACAAAAGACATGCCACCAATAAGCACTGTTAAATTTCATTTTTTTATATCGCGATATATATCGATATTGACTGATATGAAAAAAATATATCGTGATCAACTTTTTCCCATATCGCCCAGCCCTACTCTAGCTAAAATAAATTACTGTAAAATAAGGTGTTTGATACTATTTGTCATCCGAAAGCGAGCTGTGTCTTATCAATGATACACTGGCATAAAATGCAGACTGACATGTATTTTACCCAGAAGATGGCTAATGCACCTTGAATGCTTGTTCCTACCTGATACTGAGGAAAAGAAGAAGAAAAACCAAGCACAAACGATCATGCTGCAGGGATCACGAGGGCAGGCAGACACTTTGGGCTGAATGGTAACAACTGAAATGAGAGACAGTGATCGAGATGAATACGCAGAGAGAAACAGTCCAAAACAAGGTCAAAACATTATCCATTATCCCGTAAGTATGAGCACATGAGTGTTGTTTCTGAATACACATCTTTAACTTGGACAATGTGACAAATTGTTTTTTTTTTCTCTGTCATCCTTTTACAGGGCCTATATTTATTACTCTTATTGGACAACTTATTACACCATAAACAGCCTGAACCTGCTGGACACAGACATTAGTAGAACCCACAGTCAGATTAGATCTCTTCTTTTCCTTTGGTGAGAGATACTGAATACTGTAAAATAACACATTTCAAATCAACAGCACTTTTCAAACTAACCACAGCCATTTACAGTTTTTAATCGTGAAATTATATTTGCTATAGTGTTGTCATTGATGATTATCAATATCAACTGATATGAAAAATATTGATCATAATCACATTTTCAGCCATATCGCCCTGCCCTATAAGCAGGATGGCAACAACAGAGGGTACTAGAAAGAGCTTTACATCTGCACAGAAAGTACAAAGATCACTTGGAGAGGACAAGATAGTGGAAAGAGCTGGAAACCAGAAGATAGATTGGGGGTGACAGTCTGGAATCAACCCAGAGCCGCCCGTGTTAACTGTAGCCAGAGTTCGTGGCAAGCACTACTTCATCACCAGGCCAAACCCGCCCCCTATACAGCCCATCCATTTTAAAAAGTAAATGGATACACCTCGCTGAAGCTCCTTGAATATGATACCTTATGTTAAGTTCCTACTTGTGTTTACGTTGTGTAGGAGACACAGGAACATGCACATTTAATGCAGTGTCACTATGATCCCCGGCTAAGATGCCCTCCTAAAGAAAACGGGTACTGTCACAGCAGAAGAAAACACAGCTCTGGTGTCCGTTACCAGACAGACTGACTGATGTCTTTAGAGGTGTACTGACAACCATGTTATTTCTCCAAGACATACAGAGGAAGCAGCTGCCAATGAAGGACTTCACATGTAGAGTTCATTACCCACAGTAAGCACCTGAACACATAACTCTTCTGTTTCACCAGAACTAATGTACATGCACGTAGATTGTCTTGCCTTACTCCTCTGCTGTACTTCCTTTGAACAAACTCAAGTTTGTGTGTCTGTTTTCCTTTGCAGAAGAGGCCTAATCGCCCAGGGACTGATACAAGTCATTTGGAGGAGTCCCTATGGACACGCACACATTCCTGAGAGGGTTAGCTTCTCTAGTTGGTCCTCAAGACTTTTCCTAACACAAAGAAGAAAGTTAAGAAGTTCTTAACTCTAAGAAATGTTGGGTGAAGCTTGTGTGGGAACTTCTGAACAACTTTCTCAATCTAAACAGGAAGTTTCTGATTCAAAAAACAAAATAGTAACCGGCTTTCATTATTGTCCAACACTGTTTTATAGAAACTTATGCTGCGTTCCAGTTGTACTCGGTAGTCGGAATTTTGAGCTCCAAGTCAAAAATTCATCTGGAACGCCCCCCTGAATTCGGATTTCTGACTCACAAAGTCTGACAATCCTCACCAACCCCGACTTGATGACAACGTCATATTCCAAGATGGCAGCGCGGTGCATCAACAGTAAAGAGTAGCAGTGAAAGCTCTCGTAATGTATTATTTTTATAAGCACGTCGGTTTTGTTTTTGTGAAATTAAATATTGTGAAAATAAAATATTGTGTTATGTGTTGTTCACAACTTGTATAGCTAACAACAACTAACAACTGCCGACAACGGCTGACAACCACTAATAACAACTGACAACTTTTAACGACAGCTAACAATTGTAAACAACAGCTAACAACGGGTAACTGTAGACATCCATCTTGGTTTTCCAACTTGTTAACTGGAACGCCGTCAACTCGGGAGTAACGTCATTCCCAGCACTGGAACGCAGCATTAAAGCTGTGTTTGAAGACTTTTTAAAAGGTAACTCATCTGCATGTGTAAGGTCGCCTTCTCACATTGATAGCGATGAAAACACAAAACTTTACTGATTGTAAATTTTACATTTTTTGTCAACTGAACTTGATAAAGAATTGAGTAAGTATTCTTTTCAAATGGAGTTTACTATCGTTGATCTGGTAACACCACTTTATGAGTTGGTACCCTATTTTCTATAAACAAGTATGCTCTCCAATATGTTAACCTAACCCATTAAAACTTTGTGATGCACTCCTTCACAGCCCACACAGCATCGAGTGACATAGTGGCTTGTGATTGGTGGAAATGAATCCTCTACTCATAAGCCCATTAAAATGCTTTTAACTGTGAAAGCAAATAACATCCGCCCATATGAGGGTAAACATTGACATAGGTTGAATAAATGAAATATAATTTAGACACCGCTGATGTTCAGGTGGCCGTTGCTCAAAAAAAGTCAACACTTTACCTTAAAAACTTGAACATTTGGCAACACAATGCAACAAAAATCATGAGTGTCTCTGTACCAACAATGTCCTCTCTTACTACGCAGAATATGAGGAGAGAAACCTTTAGGCAATCCAAAGTTGACCGCATTCTGTTATCATACAGAATACAATTGAGTTCAAATGTACTTTTATATCAGTCTACAGTGAGAGTAATCAAATCTGAGCTCTATGTGAAAAGTTAGAGACAAGAACTTTGGAGTCAAACAGGAATTAGTTCTCTTAAACAGCATAGACTGAAATTACAGCATTTATGTTAATGGTTTCTTTCAATGAAAACCCAATGAGAGTGTGGGCTTGAATTCATCAGCCCTGACAGACTTTTGATTTTACAGCATGCATTTAAACTTATGAGTGACAAACCCTCTCCCAGTTTGTGTCTATTGGACCGTCTTCCGGTTGACCTCTTACGTGACATCAAAAAATACTAGACAAACAAGCTGTGCACCTTTTGTACGGACCCCATGCTTTACTTTTGGTACAATCAGTTGCAAGCCCTCGCCCAGGCTTACGTTGCTATCTGAGGGTATTATCTCCCCACATTTATGTTGTTCAACTTCCTCAAAAGGTGAGTGTTGGAATTGTGAAGCAAGTAAAAAATGCTCTGACTAGTTTGGAGGTGAATGAGGTGTATAAATTGATCCCCACCCTCATTATCTAAGTACGTTAGCTTGAGAAGTTTGATATAGTAGATGTATAGAGTAACATCCTTTGACAAATGCTAATTTGACAACCATTGTTTGTTAACATCCATGATGAAGATAAGACAGTCACTAAAAGTACATCATCTGTAATTAAAACTCCAGTAAACATGTTTTCTTTTGTTCTTAAGGAGATAAAAGTAAAATGTTTGTTATGAACATCCAAAATCTACAATACTTTCTTCCACTTTGCATCAATCAATCAAAATACAAGCCATGCACTCTTGCAACAGGCTGTTCCGCTGGGGGTGCAGCACTTCTCTGCAACAAGTGTGCTGCAGGCGCATATTCTCCCTGCCATCATGCATCTTCCTCATTGTCATTGATGAATTTTCCCAACGCATGTCAATGACAAAGACACAACTAGCTACAGGGGTGATGTCAGTTGAATATTTGACACTGACATTTTTTGCCGCTGTCATCTATAATCGTTTTGTGCCCAAGTCTTGGTTAATGCTGGTTTGGTGATGTGTGAGGGATCAGATTCAGTTTCACTGATTTGACCAACTCTAAGCAAAACAGCCAAACCCACACCCAGTACAACAGTACGACAAATTCCTGATGAGGTAGATAAATTAGTCTGAAAAGAGAAAACCTTTTTACTAACAGTGATAATGACTTTTTGTTGACTGAAACTAAAGTATTCTGAGTTTGTGATGACTAAAATTAGACTTAATCTATTGAGGAAAAAAAATTCCAAAAAGTGACTTAAACTGATCAGGACATTTGTCTGAAGACTGAGACCAAGACTATACCGAAAACAGTTGTCAAACTCGGCTCTGTGTCCAATTAGACAAAGTTTTCTGTGAACACCCACAACTTCTGTAACTTTGCTACGTTTCATAAAAGTTTGTACAAGATTGTAAGCTGCATTTGTTTCAACAGAAATGTTGGAGTGTAAGCAGCAAAACAACAAAAGCAAATCCTCTGTGGTTTGATTTCATTTGGGTATATTATCACAGGTCTTCTGCCAAGAAGCCATCCCACTTCTCAAAAACATGTTTGTGTATTCCATAAGAGGAAAAAAGCCATGAAACTGGGAGGAAACCTTTAAACACTGTGACACGGCTATGATGACGCAAAAGCTGGTCACTGTATAAAGATGAGGAGGAAGTCTTCTGGACCTTTATTAAAACTTTTGGACACAGAAGCATGGAAATGGATGAAGACCCACAGATAAGACACAATAAACTATATCGTAGGTAGATGGTCCGTGCACACAAAAGTCAGAGTCAAAGTGCAAAAAAAAACACTTTGACTTAATTTAGTGTACTCAGTAAAATGTCTGCCAACGACCAAGTAAAACTTTCTTGACAAAAAATGTATCAAGAAATTGTGGCTTAAAACATGAACATCTTGGAATAGCATTTATAATTGGACTTCTAAGGTCAATGTAGCTAAAATGAAGTCAGAGTATTTTGCAGTTTAGATATCACTCATCAGCTGGCTTTGGTGCAGTTGATCAAAAATGTAGCATAGTAGATAACTGTCCTAAAAAAACACTTAAGTAGAAGTGCTTTTTCCAAAAATACTCTGAAAAGTATGAGCATACAAAGACGCAACTCAATGACAGTAGCATGAGAAAATCGTTACTTTTCATCCTCCTGACCTTGACTGCTAATGTGACTGTTTATGCAAACAAAAATACTTTGACACATAAAAAAAGAAAAAGAAAAAATTCACGTGCTTTCATGCAGTCTGAGAAGACTACCAAATTATCCTGGGTCTTTGAAGAGGTGTATTAATCACACAGTATGCTTTGTTATTAATTTCAGGATAAGGGATGAATAAGAAAATTAATAAAATCTTTGCACATGTGGTAATGCATAAAAATGCATTTCTAATAAAACTGTACAACACAAAAGACCCACTTAGCCCGAGTAGCTTATTGGTTCTATTAAGGTCTTAACTTGTGTGATAAGTTGTAACATCCAGGTGGTCATTAAATAAAATCTCTTATCAGTGTGTTCACTTGTGGAGGAATTAAGCGCTAGTTTGGCAAAGAACATTTTCACCTCAGAGTTTAATTAATATTAAAGCAGTGGCAAAACAATAGCCCCACTGCATTTGAAATCTTAACCTCTGGTGCCCTCATTTGGAGTGCCTACCATATCTCCATGCTGCACCAGTCTAATCTATGGCATGTCAGCATGACCAGGTGAAAAGTGGCGTTAATTCTATATTGGAGCCGGGCACGTGTTGAGAGCAGCAGAGACAGGCAGAGCAAGCCTTGGGAGTCAGCGTGTGACCTGACAGGGATTGGCAGGCGGGGTGTTAATTGGATAGGTGCGCCAGCCCATTTGTGTTGGCCATCCCATCGCAGAAGACATTGTACCAAGTTCTTGACTCCCAAGACAAGCTGCTGTGCTCTTCTTAGACATGCTCTGAATATAGCCCATGAAATTATTTGTTTCCAAACAGCCACGTGACTTTCCCCAGACACTGAAGAGGGGGGAGGGGGAAGACAATGCATCAAAAGGTAGAGCCTCTCTTGGCTTGGAGGGAGTGTATTTGGACCTACAACAATTCACTGTGTGTGTTTTTGTTTGTGCAGAGTTATTTCAATGAAATCAACAAGAACAACTAATGAGGTGAATTGTGGCTGGAAACAAGTTTGCTGTGAAGTCAAAGTCATTTGCAAAGTGCTAATTGTTTATTAGCTGATAAATAAAGATCTATTGTCAGCGATAAGAATATTAATTGTAACGTAAATAAATAAAGATAGATAAAGTACTGTATTTATTTAACTGATGTCATGCCCTGTGATCGGTTTGTAGGCACGATTTATTGAAAACTAACCCCTGGCTTTTCAAACTCAGTTGTAAATGTAATGGATTTATAATGGTGCTATGGTTCAAAAAAAAGAAAAGACAAAACATAATAGAGCATTCTTACATGTAGGATTGCACTAGTTTGCAGTTTTATCGTAAATATTTCAGTCTTGTAGCCACACTTTTTTGGCTATGCAAATGAAATTCATATTTTATTTTCTGTTCTTAAAATAACAAAATTTAACCACTTTAAAATGATTTGAAATAAATATGATTTTTTTTAATAGAAGAACGAGATGTAAATATTGTGTGGATATAAAATGTTAGTCTCAAATATTGAATGGTCAGTAAAAGACTGATTTTTGTCTCTCAGTATAAGTGCTGGCTAAATTTTTACTCAAATTATACTTTATTTTCAAGTTTTTTCTTCTATACATGGAAAAGTAATAAAACGTAAGATGACAACTGCTTCATTCTATCACATCAGGCTCTGAAACTGCAGGATAATAAGATAACTTTAAGAGTCCTATATTCAATCTTACTGATTTTTAAAAAGTTTTGTTAACATAAAAAAAAATAATAATAATAATAATATATATACATATATATATATATATATATATATCCCAGGTGCTGCATGGCTTTGACCAGATCTTAAGAGTATATAGGAATGAAGACTCACACAATATTTTGCACAGTTAAGAGTTTGTTGCATAATAGTACAAGATGCAGGCGGAATGCGTGTTAGAGAGATAATGAGTACTTTCAAAGGCAGTAATTACTGCTCGGAAAATACTGAAGAAACTGAAAATAAAACAGGTAAATAATGTTCGTTTATATTATCAGAATACTACAACTCTGTATTGCAGTTTTGCGTTCTACACACAAATGCACAATTGCACATAGCTATGCACCATGGACAAGTGATGCCTGCTTTTATTTGAATATGAATGCTCCTTTAATACAGCAAAGGGTACACACAACCTTCAATTTAACCTTAGCCATTGTGCTCAACGCAGACCAGCCCTCTATTGTTAAAGATGCTGCATCTTATTTTTCTTTTTTAATAAGCAAAAGGATTAAATTAAACCCCATGCAATCCGAATGGAATGGGGATTTTTGGACGCATTCATACAAAATGTGTCTGGAAAAGATAATTCCTCTTAATGGAGGCATTTAAAGAAGTTGGCAGATGCCTCAGCTGCAACTTGGATTATATCATGTGTTTTTTTTTCTTTCTGCTGTCATATTTTATCATATAAAAGCAGGAAAACTCAACATAAATATGAATGTTTTCTCATTTTTGTAGGTGCAGTAAATGGAGATTTTTCTTCATTCAGAAAGCTATCTAATTAGGATTATTAAGAACGCTAAGAATTATCCTCTAATTCACTTTATTAATTATAGCTAATATTACTCGATTTTATGTCATTTAATCATAATTGCCTCTTTTTCTTTCCATTCCCTGCCACTATATAGCCTTCCCTTAGCCTGAGTAAGGGGCTGGTGCGAGCTGTCAGATGTGCGGCTGATATCTCAATTAAGCAAAAAAGGGAAATCTATTGTTTACGGGGGTGTGAGAGGGTATTTTCAAGCCGCGGGATTTCAAATAGGAACAAGAATGTGTTCGGTCAGCCTGAACAGCCCAAGAGGATTTTGGGGAAGACTCGTCCTTTGTGACACATGCAGCATAGACATAATGAATTATATTATAATTACAAAGCACAGTCTGTAGAAGTGGACAATATAGATATTTGGCCAGGGGGTGGAGTGTGCTGCTCCATAGAGACCGGGCCACTCCAGACTGCATCTCTATTCACATCACTTTAACTTAGACAAATCTCAATATGAATGAATGGGCCTTTGTTTGGGAAATAAAAACATTTGAACAAGGACGGACGCATCATCGTCTCATACGCTGAGGGCACATGAGCGGTTTTACACGTCTGGAGAGGACACAGACCTGCAGAGATTTCACTTATTTTTAAATTAGAAAAAAAATTTAAAAGTTTGCATTCATTATTATACCCGAAACAAAAAACATTAAAAGTAATATTTCTCATTCGATAAATGAGTGTTTGCAGGCAGGGATATGTTACATCGGAGAATATTGTCTGGAGGAGCCTGCTTTGTGTGGTGGTGGTGGAGGTCCTGTATAATATGGAGAGATTGGGTAAAGCAGAGCGAGCAGAGAAGCAGAGGGGAACGAAGCTGGCAGTGACTGAGAAGATGAGGATTTGACGGCAAGGTGACAAAGAGTTCAAACAAAATGAGGCTTGTAGATTAGCAGCACTCCCCCCGGTGACAGGTGTCATCTCTTGGGGCAGTCTGTCACTCTGCCTGCTGCCACTCTTTATATAATATGAGCAGAAAAGACTCAGATGGAAAGAGAGAGACAGAGAGAGAGAAACAGAGAGGAGGAGAAGGAGAGGCACCACTTGCACCTCACACGGCTCGGCCTCGCCTGAACTACCTGCCAGTAACAAAGATTAAAGCCTGAGTGGCAGAGGGAGAGCTGTGTGGACAAAAGTCGAGCTAATGTTTGTTTACCTCGCTGATGATCCTGTTTGAATGATTTCATCATAACCAGGAACTTCTCAAACAAAGTCAATGAAAAATGACTTAGTCAGGGACATGATCTTACAATAGACAAGCACTAATGTCCATAATTACTCTTTGACATTGCAGTTTGAGGGCGTGCTATTCAGACACTCAGATTGCTTCACATCTTTAATCTGTGTCATATTAATCATTTCCTGCTCAGGGATGTATCAGCAATTGAAGGAATGGATGTCAGTGGAGAGGTCTTTTTGTTGCAGGGTTACTATTTTTGTATCAATGTGATAAAATGCCCTCCACTCTCAGATATCTATTAGCTAAATATAAAAGAAAAAAATATTTACAGTATATCTTGGACTAAATACATGTACAGATTCCCAATTAAAGGTACATTATTGAGCTTTTTGGAGGGAGAAACAGAAAAAAAAGAGCCTACCCGTGAAAGACATGATAGAGAGGGTCCTTTTTTAACCTAAAGAGTAAGTTTTACTCAGACTCTTAACAAGTCTGTGACAGAGGAGAATATTAACCAAAGCTTGGAGGGAGCCAGCTCACATCATCCTGGTGACATGCAGGCTGAGACCTGCTGCTCTCTGCCCAGGACTCCAGCCATCTGTTCCACAGATTGCACTGAAACACACACAGCAAGCACTGCTGCCTCCCCTCTGGGTGAGAGAGTCACCAGAGGGTCAGCGGCTATTTCTATGGGACTCTCTCTTTTATATGTTCTGACTGCTCTTACTGACACCACTTATGTTTATTAGGTTCACCAAGCACCAACAGGACTAGTAATCTGATAATCTGTGCTGGGTGACAAAACTAAGAATTCGCGATGTGGAGCAGGATGGGAGGTAGACCGCACAAAAACTGGGATGGAGGGGAAAAGGGAGAAAAAAGCAGGAGAAGTGCAGTGATGTTTGTTTTTTGACAGATGAGGGATGCCCCCTATTGACTTTGTCAGGGAAGCTAGAAACGGGGGCAGAGAGAGTAAAGCCAGAGAGCATCAGTGGTCACAAATTGTGAAGAAAAATAACCCGAGTGCAGGCGTCCCCAGTCACATCCACAAAGTAGGAATCTTGGGTCCTAGAGATTATAGGAAAGACTCAGGCAGGAAATTCAAATGGCCAATATACATTAAGGTTTTAAAATATTCATTGCACAGGTTGGAGGGGGTAGGAGGTTATGTGAGTATTTGGTGTCCTTCTGAATGGAGAATTCTCCCTGAATAACAATCAGGTTGTATAGAATCAGGTGTATAATGGGAGCAGAGGATGACTCACAGCTGCTTATGGTTACATTCTGAATGTCCTATTAAAGATATCACTGTTAAAAATATTTAATTTCTGTGGTTATTCCTTTTTAAAAGATATTTTCCTAAATTAATTTCCTGATTTAACACATTTGCAGTAGGACGGCATCTGTGCCCCGTGCATCAAAAAAACAAGTCGTGTGCAGCGCAGTGCGTCTCTGGTCTGTGAACCGGTGTCCGTTGGGGAAATCGACCACCCTGGGCACAGTTGTGTTGGAGTGTGTAATGAGGCAGGCTTTCCACGATGGCTGATAGAGGCTCCCATTAACAGCCATGCTTTAGGGTATTCTCTGTCTGCGTGTTGTGGAATGGAAATGAGATCTGATAGAAGCATGTATAATTTGTTGTCACATCAAAGTGACACTTATTAGCTTTATTTCCTTATCACTGTTACATCTACAGTACCTCTGGGTAAATGTTCACGTTGAGACGACTGCTGTTAGCATGCTTTTGTTATGTGTCTCTAAGTATAGCAGCAGTCAGTGCAACTTTCATCGATTGTACTTCTGTGATAACTCCTTTAAGAAATGTGTCTTCTATTGACGTGCTTTCAAATTGAAAGCAATGAACATACTTTACCCCACAAATAGATTTCCTGAAAGCTTATATTCGCCGCTCATGTTGGCTCCGAGGAATAATTTAAGCATCAATGTCATTTCCGTATTCCTCTGTGTGTCATTTATTTCATAGTCAAGCTTGATAATCTAATTAGTTATATCATCTGACAGTGTGTAAAACTTTCTGCTTTTTGATATGTTTCATTCACTGGGCATCATTCTCAAAAACACACAGGTTTCCATGGCTGTAGACTCAAGCAAACACACTCCCCCCCCATAAATCCCACTGCTATCCTGAAGTGGATTATTCTGAATTTATCCAACAGCTCTCTTCAAATCTTTGTGCCTGTGAATAGGGATATTGCGGGATGGACCGCTATCAGAGTAGAATTATTTTCCCCAACTATCCAGCAGAGAACTGGGCATTGAAGGGCTATATTTTAACATAGCATCTATAGATGTGCAGCATTATAAGTCATGAGTGGCACCTCATTTCACACAGCCTAATGGCTTGACACTGAGAGCACGCTGGGGATCCAGACAGGGGAGCTTCCCTTCATTTTTGCGGCCCAAGTTTTATGAGATACAAGGATTAGGGTTGATTGAAAGTCACTGTGAGCTGCAGCATTTTGAAGGTTTTACATTAAACGCTCCTCATTGATGACTTAATACTTCTAATGATACAAGCAGCCCATGTTATATCACTTTGATTTATGTTTCCACAAATTCTGCAGGCTCAATTTGCTGTGTTGAATAAAAAACCTGACAAGTCAAAGATAAGTTCAGATGTGGTTCTTTATCCCCTTTTCCCCTCCCAAAAAAAAAAAAGAAATTCAACCCAGACTGCAGCAGCCGTGTGATATTTAACTGATTTAGATAGTGAGAAGCAGACACACGGGCACTGTCTCCTCTTCAGTGAACTTATCTTACCCGCCTGCATGTGACAGACTATGTAGCCCTCCAGCTTAGTTGTCATACACCAGCGACCAGTCAGAGCTCGTCAGGTTGTATGATTGTATAATTGTGTTGTGACACCTTGAACCCACCAGTGGTATATAACCATGTTAATTTCCTGATAGCACACTGTGGGCCGTTAGAATCAGAGTTATGATGGGTGTAATTTGTGCCTCCGACAGCAGAGTGAAAGGAGCGGGTCATCAGCAGGATAAATACAAATTAAAATTGATGCAGGTCTCATTTCTGCCTGACCAGTTTGTGTTGGGAGGCTGCAGAGAGCTGGGAATGGTGCACTTGCCATTTGTGCCATTTGGTCTTCCATTTCAATTCAGGGCCTGAAGGCAAAAAACTGAAAATAAAGTGTACCTGCCCGAAGATGTGCCGCGGTATCACAGGCGTGAAAATAAAGCTCATAAGGCAGAAAATGCTGCTGCTTTAATGGGATACAAATATGTTCTCATATCAAGTTTACAACCTCTAATTTTAGTATCAAAGTTGTGCCCAAAAATAAGAGAAAAGGGAAAAATAAACTGAGGGGAGTGCAGGAGTGAAATTCTGAAAATATTCAGGTAAATTGCATATTGGACACCTTATCTGAAAATCTATTTTATATGTGAAACAATAAAAGATTGACAGCCTCATTTTGATTGCTATGTGAGTTGTTTGTTACTGCCTACCTGTGCATGTGTGCCGGTGTGTGCCTGTGTGTGCACCGCACATTCTGCAGAGCCTCCTGAACTCCTGTCACAGCTTCCCTGACTGCTGGTTCAAGAGCTCTTCATTACAGCCTCTGCACATTGGAGGGAAAGAGAAACAATGCTTAGAGCCCGATTCACATAACCTTCATTGAATCAGCAGCTCAAACTGTCTCCCAACACTGCGAATAATTCACTTTCTTACTAGTTAAGTGCACCACTGTGTCAGAAAGCCCCCCCCTCCTCTTAAAAAGGGATGAATAGATAGTAGTGGAAACCTGAACGATAATTAATGACATAAACCTCACACTTTATGATCATAAAGACTCTGATCGAAAATAGAAATGACATCATTTTAACCAGCAGCTATGCATTACCCATCACTGTCTGATAAATATGTGTATTAATGAAAATAAGCAGTAAAACTAGCCTGACAGTACAATGCAGCCGTCAAACAAAGGCTCGTCAGTAATGTTTCATACCAATCCACTGATATAATAATTATACTATCCCCAGTCTTTAGTGGAGGTTGATTGTTCTTGCTGTGAGCTAACACACTTAATTGTAGTATGCAAATGAGAGCAATTACAAAGCTTTTAGGTGAAGAGATGACAGCTGAGGTTGGTTTTATTGGAGGCCTCACCCAGTTGTCATGGAAACCACATAGAATAACGCAATTGTCAAATGGATATAATCTCATGTTAGGTCCAGAAATTGCCTCCACTCTACTTTTTGTTCCATGAACTGATCCATATGAGAAGGAGATTCTGTGATTACCGAGCAAATTGTCACTTTGTGTTGTGTAAAGCAAAAGAGGGCTCGTTTAGGAGGGAGAGAAATGTTGGACCAGATTCAATTTTTAAACCCAGCCCTCAGAAGAACGCAAAATATATTCCCACTCAGGCAAAAATGCTTTGAGATTTATAGAGTCTCAACAATTATCTATGATCTAAGATAAATTTTGGATCAATTATTTGCATTAAAAATAGTTTTATAGCACTCACTTAGAACATTTCAGCATAAATTATGTTGTTTACACCATTTCCTGTTTATATTAGATTTATTGATACAGGATTGATGATAGACAATTTAAACCTGACTTCATTGACCATAAATCAAAAAAGGCTTTATAGTACACTGTGTGCACTCAAACAAGGTTTATTTTGATAAGAGGAGTGAGGTGTCACTGAAACATCCCTTGTCATCTCCTCAGAAAAACAGTCACATGACATTCACGATAATAATATTGTGGATGATTTTTATATGGGCTACGACACAGGACACACCCTTCCCAAGTCCTTTAATTACTGCCATTTCCATGCAAAATATAAAGCATGTTGCTGTATGCAGTTATTTATATTTTAAAGTATTTTTCATTCATATTCAAGCATTTACTGTTTCACTTTTGACTATCCCAAATTACAGAAAATAACACCATCGCTGCTGTTGATGGCATGCAAAACAAAAAGTTGCAGTGGAAATTTGGTCCAAAATTCTCTAACAACCTATATTACAATAACTCTTGTGCAGGCTTTCATGAATTAAATATGAGTCGCATCTGAAAATGAGATGTTATAGAGGTAAATGACAAGAGGCAGCTTGTAATTGAGGTGGTGGCAACATAGGCCTGCTGAACTAATCCCTGACTGGGTCATGTGATGCACTGCTCACCAATGGCAGGACTTCGTTTCACCACAAAGCCAGGGCAGCTGGGAAAATTGATTTCTCATCTGAGCTGTATTTGATAGCTTTTGAAATAAAAAATTGAAATTAACTAACCTACGCCCCATCATTACAAAAGAGCAAATTAAACTGTGCAACAGCGGCTCCTTTGAGCTCATGGAGCCTGTGAAGGAGACAAACATGAAGATGGGAGCTCTCCTCGGCCCGTGACTCCCTCTCAGGATGACTACCTAGAATATTTGAAACAATAAATAAGCTGTGCACTGTTGTCTTGTAACGATATGTTAACCTTTGGAGAAATAAGATGTGTTGTTATTTACAACACATTTTACAGAATATTTGTTTGATTACACGAAAAGAAGGACATATTCAAGTCCAATGAAAAGATTTCTTCTCAGGGTTTATTTGAGTACACTATTTTGTAACAATTAAAATGAATGTGGAAACAATTATTTGCAATTTTAGATTTTGTTTTTATAATGATATACTTTTTTACAACAATAAAAATAAAGAGAAGGAGCGAAACCACATTCAATTTATCAAATAGATTCAGTTGTTAAAGCAGTTTTTTTACTAACATGTTTTCAAATATTGTTTGCTGTTTATCTAAATAATCTCTAAAGTTTTTTTTTTTTTCAGCTGCATATCTAAAAATATTAACCTTTTTATTCAATAACCTTTTTATTATACAAGTACTGCTCCTCCTATTTTCCATGCTGCAGTAATTAGGGGAGACTAGTTTACCATTTTTTCCACACTTATTTGTGGAACAATGCAAGCAGCAATTTAACAAGTACTTAGGAGAAAAATCTCTCTGTGAGAGTAAGTGAAAGTGGACAAGACGTGAAGTGAAACGAGGAAGCTGTTTGCGCTGACAAACGACATGCTGAAACAGATGTTCCTGCAGGTGGACATGAAGATCAATAGGCGGTGGAGAGCAGCGAGATAGTTACCTGAGCTGCTGGAACTTGTAGCAGATGTTAAACAGACTGATGCCCTGGAAGGCTGATCAATGGACAGGAGGCAGATGGAGGAGAACATGGAGGAGTGCTGGGAGGCGCTGTTAGCAGAGGGAAACATAAAATAATGGGAGTCACATTTGATATGCAGATGGGCGCCTGTCCACAACGTTAACCCATCAACGCAGAAATAACACGCTTCAACTTTGAGGAAACTTCTTCTCCAGTCCAAACTACGCTCCCTTCATCGGCTTCTGTGTCATGCTAATTATGACTAAATTTACCCCGTCCAGCGCAAGATCCTGCAGAGCTGATTATTTGTCCAGTATCGTGATTCCTAACAGGTAGATCAGGGCACCCTGTCGACCATTATCAGGTGAGAGAAATAAGAGATTCAGCAGTTTTGCTCGACTAAAAACTTGCCTCATTAGCTGTAGTGAGAGTTTGTGTCAGTCTGGGATCTAACAGAGTATCACCTTTACCTCCCATTAGTGAATTAAATACACTCAGAGCATCCCAAAGCATCTCTTGGAGCTCCCTCATGGTGCTACTTGTGTATTATCAATCTTGTTACACACAAGCACATGTGAAAAAAATTCTCAGGTATTATTTTGTACCAGAAAGTATTTTTCAGGTATTTTACAAATTAAATATCCAAGAAATTAAAATGAAAATATTTATTTAACGGTTTGAGCCCTACAAAAAACAAACAAAGAAATCCTCTCTGAAATGTAAAATCAAAGTCCAATGAGGTTTGCTTTAATAAACCAGGACAGCATCTTTCTGTGATTACCCCCTATATTCTGCACACCTGCATGAGCACACACACACACACACACTAACACATGCTCAGCGTACAAACACACACACACAAAGATCTTCTGACATCCAGTGTCCCAGTGGCCTTGCTGTCCGAGAAGCAACTTGAACTAGGCGATAACCTGATAGACTTTATCTTGTCTTCTCTGGGTCTCAGTGAAGCCTGAAGAAGACACTTCAGCTGCACGGCATCCCCCCAGAGTCCTAACCTTCCCCTCATCTCTCCTTGCCGCCATCGCTGCCTGAGAGCTGTCAGCGGCCTGTTGCTTATTGATGTTTCTGCATGTTTTATGTCTTTCGGAGATATGATGGCTCTGACACAGTGCTGATTTCAATCAGCTTTGCCACATACCGCAGAGAGTGACAGCTGGGGAAAGTAAGAGGGACAAAAAAAAAAAAAGAAAAAAAGAAAAAGAAAGAATTGGTGGGGATGTCATTGGCTCAGATCAGCTTCGGCCTTGTCTCTGACCGGGGAATTCTCCTCCCTTCTAATGAAAATGTTTCATTCACATCGCACATCTCATGCCTCCCTCGCTGATGAATTCAATAGAGGAAAAAAGAGAAACGAATAGTGAGGGAAAGAAATTCAGCTTTTGTCAGATTGGGGAGGCAAGAAGAGAGGATGACCCCTGAGCCAAAGGTTCTGACACTGCATCAATCCCTTTAGGGGCGAGGCCTGCTGGACCAGCTCTAGCTGCAGATTACTTCAGCACATCTGAGGGGATGGCTGCTCTATCTATTTCACACATTCTATGCAGAGAGGAGAGCCTTGTATGCTTTGGATCCTGAGCTGCCCACTAAATTAGGTCTGAGATCATTCCATGCAATGAGGGGAGCGATCCAAGCCAATTCAGCTCCACACCATTGACAGAAGGCTTACCCAATCCCTGAAAAAAAAGGGAGACACATCTCGTCCCTCTTTCTCTTTATGATACACACTAGAATGTACCGTGGGTAATCCCAATAAGGCTCTTTACTTGCAAATTTGAGTATATGCACACATGTACCAATAAGACGCTCCCACGCAGCTTTCTCACATACGTGTTATTGACAACAGCATCGCATCTATTCAGCTCCTGCCTCTTTTGTCCCAATCTCAAGTAATATCCTGAACTTATTAGGTGCTTCAGAGCTAAATATGATTTGCTGATAATTGAAAAATCACATCGGTGTTTCATTCAGCTGGGAACTAATATAAATAAGACAACGGGTCACATCGATTGTGGTCTGATTATATTACATTTTGCCCTGACATTTTAATTTTAAAAGATGGTAAAATAGTTGTTCTGCATTTGTTTTTAATTATACCGTGTGTTCATTTACTTCATACCTTGGTAAACGTGTTTAATATAGAAGCTTTGTTGTGTTTTCTTCCCAGTTTTATCTCTAACTCTAACTTAATTTAATCTGAACACCTCTCTACATTAAAAAGAAAAAAAAATTCCCCCAAGATCTCATGATAATTTCAAACCTGTTTTTGTCTGAATCTGATAAAGCGCAATTTATTCACTTGTGTTTTCACTGAGAGATATCAAATTAATAGCTCTAGTCGGGGTACTTTGCTTTGAGTGTGCAGTCATATTTCACTTTCAGTTTTTTTATAGAACACAATTACCGTGGCCATAATGAGATTCAAAACAAAGACTAAATTAGCTGTCATTAAATTATTTCAATTTCCTTCCCCTAATAGAAGATTGTGACAGGTGTCATAGTTGCTGTTATGTTTGGCTTAGCAACATGTTATAATGGATAATTGATCCATCAAAAAACATCAAGCCCAGGCAATAACTGGCTTGAGAGTAGCACGCCGAACACGCTGAAAATCAAATTTAACCCCGTGTTGACTGAGACACTCCCTTGCTCTGTCGATCAAGCATGTCTCTCCTTGACAGCTCTGTTCGCATGTTGTTAAATAATCTAAAGGGAGAAAAGAAACATGAAAGAAAAAGCAGTCTCAGAGGAACTGTCACAGAGAAAGGAAAATGCCATGGGGGGCGAGGAATGCCTTCAGTCGTGCAGCTTTTCACATTTTAATTTCAGTCTGTGGGACTGACTCGTGGTAGCGCCTGAGTGAGTGGGTCCTGGGAGTCAGGGCTAGTGCTGACCCCTGAGCATAGACAGGCCCGGAGAGATGTCAGCCGAGAGCTCCTGAGGATCACCAGGCTGCCAAGCGCTTTGAAAGCTGCTGCCAATTCAGCCTAAGATGCAGCTGAATGCTCGCCACCGAGAAGGGGAGCGACAGCAATAAAAACAGGTTGCAAAAGGAAGAGAATTTGCTTTCAAAATGTATTTGGCCTTTGACCTTGCATCCAACCCCTTGGCCTCTGTCTTTGAAGCTGAGCATATTTTTTGAGAGACATTGAAAGAGGGGAGGGTTTTAGGGGTGGACTTGGGGCCTGTCAGTATAAACATATTAATAATCTGACAGCTTCATCTGCTTTTGAGGGCTAGACTTGACAGCTTCACAATGGCCCGCGCTGTAGTCCTTCTCGTACATGTCTAGCTTCCCTGTCTGAACAACACAGAGAGTTTATTAAGACATCACACTCCTGTGAAGTATTGATTTTACACCAGTCTCTGTCACTTACTGTATCAGCCTGAGCAGGAGCTCCAAAATAAACTCTGACAGCTGCATGTAACCTGCTGAATATGTTTGAGAGAACAGCTCAGTTCAGGTAAATTTGCTTTTTATTTTGTTGTACGCCTTTAATCTAATATCGCCTGACCGAGTTCCCTGATCAAACATCAACACAGAGCAGAAAATTCTTTGATTGTTACTCTCTTAAAAGAGGAAATTTAAATTTTTTTGACAGAGAAAAATAAAAGAGAAACACATTACATGGGAGATTGTTGCAATTAAGTTTGTGCAGCTAAAGAAAAAAAAAAAAAAAACGAGCGAATGCTATCTCAAACAAAAGAGGGGGATGTGCATCTGCCTGTGGAAACGCGCCCCGCCTCTCAGACAGCGGGTCTGTCCATGGAGAGACAGAGGGAGAGAGGGGTCAGCGGGAGCACAGGTAATTGAGGTGTCCCCTCCCCTCCCTTTTTTCCAGGGCTTCTCACCCCATCCTTTCACCCCCCACCCTATCCACACAGCGGGCACAATTACGCTCCCCATCACCCCACCAGCTGGCCCCCGTGATCCCACACTTCTTACTAAACGCGACTCCATCGGCCCTTTCCCTCTTAACCTCTCAGCACCCGCTCTGGGGGAATGGTGAGGTTGCACACAAAACTGGAGAAAGAGAACTCAGACAGTTCTCCTTCTTTTAACACTTTGCAGGAAAGCGGAGAAAATAAAGAAGTTGAGTTAAATGCAGCTTTTGCATTGAGAATTAAACTGGGTTTGGAGCAGGTGTAGTGAGGAATCCTCTGATACGAATACACAGATAAACAGCAGCTTGAAAAAACTGCAGAAGTGACTATTAAATTGAAGGAAAACTGTCAATTAGTCTTAATAAAATATTGTCATAATAGGCAATAAGGCAATATTGATATAATTAATATTATACTCGCCCTGAGAGGAAACTTGCCACATGTAGAAATAATTATATAGAAATCCGTATGTAAAGATCTATATAAAAGAAAAAAATCTACGCTGGCTGAAGAATACCCTGTCCAACATTTAGGCTGCTAACTATTCAAATCAAACTGTAATAGTTATCAACAAGTATCTTAATTGGGTGGCTTGAAATAAATTTCAACACACGGGTGTCAGCCTGATCTTATTTCTTGAACACGCTCCGAGTGTCTCTTGATAGACGGTGTTTTCACTCCATCCCTCCACATTAATGAGTGGGAAAGCTCTCCTGTGCGTTATTACCTGAAATAATACCATATGGTAAAATGTAAACAACATCTGCATATTCATGTCATAACTTCATCTGTTTAATTAGTTCCAGCAAAGCAGTTTACCCTCTGAGGCCCTCGCTGTCAGAGCAGTGATGGCGGAGCCGTGGCCCGCTGTCGGTCCTGACAGTCCTCCATTGTTCGGTTGACGCTGCCGCCCTGTCTGTTTAATGCCAGGTGCATCTTTACAGGCCACGGATCAGGTGAAGCCAGTTAGGGAGCTCCTTTCACACCGATGCCAAAGCTGACACGTCCCTCTTTAGCAAGGAGACCTACCAATTATTTGAGGATATTCTATCGTATGTAAACACGGCTTGGTTAAAAGCCAAACTTTTACTGAGTGGCACTATCTCTTGACATGCAGCCATCAAAATGTGTGCTGTAATGCATCTGTTTTCAAGCACGCCATCAGAAAGAATGTGATACCCAGGCTGGGTCAATCACATGATGGAAATAATATTGGATACTGCTTTTTCCTATTTTAGTGCTTGCTAAGACCATTTCAAAGGGCGGTCTTTGATACGTAACAATGCTTCACAATATTTTTATGCATGTAACTCTTGGCAGTCACTCTGTCTCTATAATATGAAAACACTGCTGTCAGTGCCAGGGACTTCACATCTAGCTTGAATGTTGTTTTTCTTTACCGTTTTCAAGGGATAAACTTGTGCGAGAATTTCAGAGAAACAATACAGAAAACAAGGCGATGTGGTGCAAAAGGCTTGAGTGGGCTCTGCCTAATTAAATTCTCCTTCATCGTGCACTCATTTGTGCAAAAGCATTAATACTTCTGACCCCATGCAGCCTGAGCACTAACATGCCTCAGGAAGGAAAAAGAGGAGGGAAATGAAAGAGCAAAACATGAAGGAATATCTTATTAGGGGAGTCAGGCATGTTTTGGCCCTCGTTTCTTGATGGCTGCTCTTGGTGTCGCGACCTGCTGGCGTCTAGCTAATACGACAGTGTACGCCATGCCATTGTTCTCAATCAATAACTAATTATCAAAGTACTGGCTCCGACTTGTATTGTCCGCTGTGCTTGGAGCCCCTTGTTGTGGACTGAAAGACAGAGGGGGGAAGAAAGGGGAAAGGAGGGTGGCTTTTGGCTGCACAGTGATGCTGCCGCCACAACATCCTCGCAAGCCTTTCAAGATACACTGTGCCGTCAGTTTGAATTACCGTCGCCTACTAATTGATATGAATTAGAACAGAAGAATTATTGTTGCTGCTGAATGTCATAACGATATCCTCAAAGTAATCACTGGAGACAAAAAGAGAACAGCACAAAACACACAAGCAGACCAAATAAGAAAAGACAAATTAAGCCGACTCCTGCTAGGGACTTTGCAAACGAGGCTTTAGACAATGGGTAAAGAAAATTAGACTGC